GTTATAGCTGAATTCAAGATGAGCTGCCTACGTACCCTTGAGAAGGGATCAAGCCATTCATAGTTCATATTACAAAGAGAAAAAGAGGATGTATTATAGGGTTTTCTGCGGAGTTATGAATGAATGAATCCTTGAATGAACGAGGAACTCTTTATTTATAGAGGTTGAAGCCGGTTGATTTTTCTTTTCCTTCTTGACTTGATAATGCAGATTTTCTTATTTCTTGGAGCAGATAAGAACAACTTCCTTTTTCCTTGAGAAATTATCTTCTGAGAATATTTCCTATGTCCGGATAAGATCAGGAAATATTCTACGGGTGAACCATCATAAATCGGGATTAATTAGACCAATCTTGGTTCATACCGGACTAAACCGGAGGTGCGGAGTACACCACCAACAGTAACCGCCAGGAAGGGGTCTCATCAAGATTCCATAAATTAAAATAAAAAAACCCTAAATCGGATGAGGGGTATCTCCGATCTATTCTCCGGCCCGTTGCCTCTACCGATTAAGACCTCCGATCACCAACATGGATCTTTGACGACACCTCCACCAACGTCTTCGTCAAGTACAACGAAGCCGATCTCCGAATCTCGCCATCATCAGTCAAAGATAAGAATTATGTTTAATGCTTTTTCACGCCTATTGAATTTGTGGACTCCGAAACATTAAAGAATTCATAAGAGATTCTTTGGTTGGTTCAATTCATCTTAGTTTGTTCGGTCAAAAACTACGGCTGCATATCGAATACCAGAAGCAATTGTAATTAACTGGAGTTCTAACTTACATCATGATTTAGCCCTATACTATGAACGACACCATGAATACATGATCACATATTTTCATTAATTTATTTGTTTGCATCTAAACATTAATCATCTTAGTTTAAGATTACGTCATTATCTCTCATGCTTTTTGATCGGAAACTTACTAACTTATGATCTGACTTTTTCCTATTTTCGACTTGAGCCGACGATGTCTGCGTCTCTCCCACCATCGATTCACCATCACTGGTGTATACAACAAGAACTGACCAACATCTCAGTTCATCACCTCGCGAACTTTGCTCGAGTTCGTTGGCTCTGCCCGAGCTCATCAGCTCGACATCTGCAAAGACGAGCTCCCGCTTAAAGTCACGCTTCTCTAAATATTTACATTACCAACAACGTCGAATCGTCACAACGCTGCTTCACCAACAAAATCTCATAAAAATTCTTCATCAAAAACCAAAGCTAAGTTTTCATGTTTTAATTATTATCCATTAATTCGGGTTTGGTATCTTATTGGTTTAACATAACCAAGTGGTATAATTGAAAATTGAACCAATTCACGCTTTATGGAATCAAATTATATGGTCTCTTTACACGTCTCTTCCTCCCATGGCAGGCGAAGTAAGACTTTCTCTCCCTCACCCGACTACGAGAACTCGATGACTCTGTTGTTAACTCTCTATGGAGACATCATCTACATGACCACGTTCCATGGAGTCCTTTGCTGAAAAATCAGAAGGATTCGTGGCACTCTACAAATTCTCAGAAGCAGTTCCGATCTCCTCTTCAATTTTTTTTAAAAAAAAGAGGATATGGACCCCCAGCTTTCTCATACTTTGTTACAAGGGAGACCTAACTTGTGGAGCAATCAAAACAACAACCTTCAACAAGAATAAACAAAGATCGTGTGCACCCTCAAGCTTCTCACGACCGAGATTTTTCCGACCTCGCGGTAGCTCGTCAACTAGGTTCCACCATTTATGCTTCACCAAACTCCGTGTTCTGAGCTCTCACTTGTTTGCGCTTCACCAAAGCTGTTCATAGATGAGCTCCGAGCTTCGAGCTCCCAGCGCTTCTTCGACCCTCTATTTCAGCTTTAAGCTAGCTTCGTGTTTGCAATCCACCGCAAGGATATCAACTTATCGGCTAGTCAATTGGTCAGATTTTGAATGTTAATTCGTTTGCTTCCAATCGGTCTTCAACATCTGCTCCAATGGTGTCCTTCTCTGGTAGCCAGAAAACGGAATTCTGCAAAACATAAAAAAAAAAAGACGTTATTTTATACTCTGTTCCAGTTCCAGCCAGGCAGCCATCGACCAACACAATCTGAGCTCCTCAACATACACAAATATCGATGGCAACATGAGATAATTTTCTGTAATAAAACCGAGATACTTCAGACAGAAGGAAAAGTCAAGAGAACAGCAACAGAAGAAGAAAGAAGAAGATCTGCACCACCGAAAACGTGGAATCATGGCAGCCAAGCTCGATTTTTTTTTTATATATAAAAAAAAAATAGAAAGAAAGAGAGGGAGTAGGGGCTAGGAGACACCTCACTATGAAACCCATCATTTTTCGTCGTCTCCGCGTCACACCCTGGTTCACTCATCTTCTCCGACGTCAACGTCTACACCATTGACTTGCGATTTACAAAAACAGCAAGCCAAAAAAGAAATAAGGGGAGAGCTCAACGCCATCTCCGTTCTCATATCTTATCACGGCCGCGACCATGATCAGAAGTCCGTCACCGATTCGAGATTTTCAGAGCTCTGCCGTCAAGCCATTCCTGCAACAAACCAAGCTGTCATTGGAAATCAGATTCTCTTCTCTATTGGGCTTAATTAGGTTTTTGGCCCATCTGATATTATGAAATAAGGCCTTTCAGCTGGCCCAAATTGATGTGAAGACTAAAAGCCCAATCCCCTCCCGATCCTTTCTCGACGAAAAAACTATTCCAGCTCCGATCTAGTCAAATCCGGCAAAACCTCCAACCAATCCTGCATCTTCCGGTGAATTACTACTTTTCCGACCAAAGCCGTCTCATCTGTTTGCTTCGACGCCCACGAAAAACCCCCCGAGATCTTCTCCTCTTTCTCACTTCAGCAACCATGGCGAAGAACACAGGCTGCCTCCGATTCTCGATTTCGCAGAGTAATATACGCAAATTGCTCCATCGCCGAACTCAAGAGATTTCACGTTCATTCTAGGCTCGGAAAACTTCAGAGATTCGTAACAATTCCCAAGTTTCAATACATGATGACATCCCATAAATACTTCACTGAGATTAAGAAGATTTATTCTAGCCGATACCATCACCATCTCAGCTCGCCGCACAGCTTCACCAGCTCTTTACCAGAATCTAAAAACCAATCTTCGCTCTAACAAGGATTGAACATCAAAGAGCCGAGCTCCACAATCCCACACCAACACCAAAAAGCTAAGTATCATTTTCTCTGCTAAAGTACTATGATCCAAAATCCAAGAAAAATGTCTTCACAAGCCTTCATTACAATGTCGCAGGATTACAAAAGTATCAGCTCCGGCTAGGACGATTTGGTGCACGAATGCCATTATAACGACATATAGTCAAGAATCTGTTTGCTTTGACAAGGCTATAAGCAGACAACCGCATGGAGCTCTCCATAGAAGGATACTCACCGAACTCATTCCAATTTTGTTTTCACCGATCTCGTTCCGCTTCCGCTCACATCCAAAATTACTTACCAATCTCTCAAAGCTACTCTTAGCTCGTCAAACCAAGCTTCCCAGTTCCATTAGCTCGTCAAACCGAGCTCTGCTAAAATTCAGGTACCATCTATTGTTCAAAAATATTCTCAATTCTGTTAAGTTACAGGGTCCGTCCCTCAAGCCGAACTACTGTTCGCAAAAAAGAAAGAAAAAAAGAACGCTTCTCTAAAGCTCTCCATAGATGAGCTCCGAGCTCCCACGAAAACTCACGCCTCTCCAAAGCTTTGTTGAATAAATAAGCTGCGAGCTCCGAACTCACACTTCAGCACCTTTATCGCCAGCCTCAACTCGTCAAGTTCTATATCAGAAAGTTTGGATTTCAGTTCAGCCCTGAATATTATTTGGGTTTCGAATCCAGAGCTTCAGTCAGTTCGGTTTTGAAAAGAATTTCAGTTGGGTTCAGAATTTCATTTGATTTCAGTATTTCAGCTCGGTTCGAGATTTTATCTCAGCTCAGATTTTCAGTTTCAGCTCGTCAATTTTGGGATTCAATTCGCCACTAACAGTTCGGTTGCAGTTCGACCGTTTTTCACAAGTTGAGTTCGTCAAGTACAGTTCATCAACTTGAGTACGTCAAATTCAGAATTTCAGTTTTGATTCAGAGTTTTAGTTCGGCTCAGAATTTCAGCATGTCATATTCAGTTCATTTCAGATCAGATCAGTTTTTGTTCAGAAATTCGAGTTTCAATTCGATAAAACAGCTCGGTTGGTCAGAAAAGTTCAGTTCATTGACTTGAGTCAGTTATACACTTTTCTGCCGAGCTACGCTGTGCTCCAACCTTTTCTAGCTCATCAACCGAGCTCTTCAGAAATTCAGGGTCCGTCCCTCCAAGCCAAACTGACATGTTCGCAGTCCCAACCGAACTCATCGGTATTACATCGACTACCTGGCCAGTTGTTCGATAGCATTTCTCAACAATGCAACATCAAAAAGTCGAGATCCGTCTCGCAAGCGTCCACATGGCGCCGTGGTGAAAGAATCCACAATTTTTAAAGCCGGGGCCAGTCCCGCATTACTTATTCCTAAGTCACCGAGAACAATAAGCCGAGCCCATCTCGCACACTCTGGTTCGACTTAGGAAACCCTGAGTCCGTATCGTGTGTTTACAAGAGTTCGAATTTCACTCTTCCAGCACGAGAAAGCTCACTTGGGTCCCCTAGGCCGAGTTCATTTAACTCGCACAAATTAAGCCGAACACCTCAGATTCGCACCGTAAGCCGAGTTCTCAACACTCGCAAATGTAAGCCGAGTTCTCGCAATTCGCAATAGACTAAGCCGAAACTCATATAAGCCGAGCTAACAGCCTCGCAAGAATCCACCAATCTCAGTTCACACCAGACTAAAAGTACTTACGAAATCCGCCGAACTCCTACATATACTCTTTCGCCGGACTGAGGGGGGGGGGCTTACTGTTGGTGGTGTACTCCGCACCCCCGGTTTAGCCCGGTATGAACCAAGATTGGCCCAATTAATCCCGATGTATGATGGTTCACCCGCAGAATATTTCCTGATCTTATCCGGAAATAGGAAATATTCTCAGAAGATAATTCCTCAAGGAAAAAGAAAGTTGTTCTTATCTGCTCCAAGAAATAAGGAAATCTGCATTATCAAGTCAAGAAGGAAAAGGAAAATCAACCGGCTTTAACCTCTATAAATAAAGAGCTCCTCGTTCATTCAAGGATTCATTCATTCATAATTCCGCAGAAAACCCTAAAATACATCCTCTTTTTCTCTTTGTAATATGAACTATGAATGGCTTGATCCCTTCTCAAGGGTACGTAGGCGGCTCATCTTGAGTTCAGCTATAACATCAATAAAAATTATTTGTGTGATACTCGGTATCAACAAACCGCATCAAACATCAAGAGCAGAGTCAATCGCCAATCTGTTTTGGGGGCCATAACTTGTGCGCAGCAAAGGCTGAAACTTTATAGCAAGGTCCCTCCCAATGGTCTCGTGCTCTATACAGGCACCATCGTCAACGAGGAAGGCAAGGAAAAGAAGGTTACTATTGACTTTGAGCCATTCAGACCAATAAACGCTTCTCTCTACCTCTGTGAAAACAAGTTTCACACTGAAGCTCTGAGTGAATTGGTGGAGTCTGATGACAAGTTTGGTTTTATTGTAATGGACGGAAAAGGCACTCTCTTTGGAACTCTTTGCGGAAACACAAGTGACGTGCTTCACAAGTTTTCTGTTGATCTTCCAAACAGTCACAGAAGAGGAGGACAATCGGCTCTTCGGTTTGACCGCCTCGGCACGGAGAAGCGTCACAATTACCTGAGGAAAACCGCTGAGCTAGCCACACAGTACTTCGTCAATCCTTCAACAAGCCAGCCTAACGTGGCAGGGCTAATACTTGCCGGTTCAGCGGATTTGAAGACTAAATTGAGTCAGTCAGATATGTTTAGTCCCCGGCTCGCGGCCAAGATACTGACTGTGGTGGATGTATCATGTGGAGGAGAAAAGGGTTTTAACCTCGCTGTTGAGCAGTCATGTGATATACTAGCGAATGTGAAGTTCTGTCAAGAGAAGCGTTTGATAGGGAAGTTTGCTACGGAGACGAGGCAGGGCACAGGGAAGTACGTGTCTGGCGTGGATGACACGTTAACCGCTGTGGATTCAGGTGCTGTTGAGACGCTTATTAGATGGGAAAATCTTGATATCAACAGGTACGTGATGAAGAACAGTGTTACAAGTGAAACTGTGATAAAGCACTTGAACAAGGAACAAGAAGACAACAAGGAAAACTTCAAAGGGTTGGGTGTGGAGGAGAAGATGTCGTTGCTGGAGTGGCTGGCTGATGAATACAAGCGTTTTGGTTGTGCGCTAGAGATTGTAACCGACAAAACAGAGGAAGGGGCTAAGTTTTGCAGAGGGTATGGTGGGATTGGAGGGATACTTCGTTACCCGTTTGACATGAGTGCTTTTGATTCTGAGGGGGGAGAGGATTATGAAGATGATGATTCTGAAAATGAAGAAGTTCATGAAGATTCCTTTGATTCAGAGGATGGAGAAGTTTATGATGATGATTCTAAATAGGAATTAATCAAATCCTCACCCTTGCCGGGTAGGGGAGATGGACCACCTCCAAGCCTGAAACAGCCTGCGCGGGCTCTCGGGGCCACACGGAAAAGAGATGGAAAGTAAATGAAGAAGAATATTTTTCCATAGGTAATTATGGGAACTCTTAAAACCTAATGCTAGTTTTTGGAATACTTTACCTTATTCTCTGAAATGAAATGGTTTGTGTTAAAAATAGGTGGAGAATGAAGAAACAGGTGGATAATTGAATAGGTCTTGGCTGCTACACCTTACCTTTTGATGCAGCGCCATCGGTTCCACAAGTCCTATATAGTCTTCATAGGTTTTGGTTTTATGTTTTATCTTTTCCTTTTGTTTTCGTTTGGAGAGATAAACTCCCAAGTTTTATTTGCAATTCTTTTAGTTTCATATTCGAAGTTCTCGTCCTATAAGTAGGACTCTTCTTTTGAATGGTTTTGCTTTTGAGAATTAAGGACTTTTTACTGAATTTCCCAAATGTCCGGGCGTTTCCAAGGATTCAACGGTATTGTGAAACATAAAAATAAAATAAAAGAGAAAGACAATCCTTCTTTACTGAAGAATAAGATACCTAAGGCTTGCTGTAATGCTGTTGGAATTCCATAGCTGACTCTTTGAATTGAAATGGTGTTTTAAAACAGGTGAATAAATGAATTGTTCTTGGCTGATACAAGTTACCTTCTGAATTAGATTATGAAAACATTTTAAAAAAACCTAGAATATGCAACAGATGATGAAAAATGAACTATTATGATGAGTGGTGGTAAAGCAACAAATTATAAAAATTAAAATGATCATAATGATGAAATACTGAAAGAGTGGAAAGACTCACTCAAGTCGTGTCCAATTTTGAATGGTGTCCAATTTTGAAAGTTTTCAGGTTTAATTTCGTTCTTTAATTGAACTGCATAATTAGATCCAAACAATATAAATATTATTATAACTATTTTAACTTGCTAAAAAGGTTAAATTACACAAGTTAGTGGTTATTTGTTTTATTGGGTCTTTTGGTGGAGTGGATTAGAGTTGATGTTTTTACAATTGTGGTCTTTGCTGGTCGGTACGGCAAAATATCTTAACAAGATGTGAGACAAATTAAATATATCCTATTTATACTTTTTTTGCCAGTATATCCTTTTTATACTTATACATGTGAAACTGCATTCATGTTAAATAAAAAATCGTAAATTCGATATGAAATCATATACTCTATTCGATTGTTATGATACACATGGATATCATATTAATCAAGTTAGACTATATGTATTTTATAATAGAATTATATTTTTTTTAAATATGACTTAACAAAATGGGAATATAACTACAGTTATTTTTTTAAAAATACAAACATTAGTACAGTAAAACCTCTATAAATTAATAATGTTGGGACCACAATATTTTATTAATTTATTATGATATTAATTTATCTATAAATTATTAGTTATTAATTTATAAAGAAATTTTGGTTCTCATCTATAATCTTTTAAAATTTTCTTTTGAATAGTATTATATTTAAGAATTTAAATGAATCCTTTAATGCAAATTATGATTAATAATCATATTATCACAAAAGAATAGTTTTTAATAGCAAATTAAATTGCTCATATAAAGATATACATTTTTATAGTTCAAAAATTATAAGAAATCGTGGCTACTATCCTTTATTATTTATGATAATCAAATTGAAGACAATACTACAGTCACGTATTGAGTTGTTACCAATTGTTATTGTGTATCTTTCTTTGATTCAGTCAGTTTAGGTAATTACATGGATCAAGAGTAAGATACACACAGAATTAGAGATTGAGATTTTATTGGTTAGACTCTGTTTTGTTTGTGTGCACGTAGGCTCTGTTTTATTTGTGTGTTAATCAGAGTTTTTTCTTGGATTGAAATGAGAGAGTCACATGACTGTTTGTATTGGCACTAAAAGCAATATTTAATCATTTTAGAGTTGTTACCATATTTTCAGCAAATTTATAGAGCAACTTAGGCCTTGGTTCATATAGATTGTTGAAATATGCAAGAAAAATAAACTTCTTCAGCCCAAAGACGCTCTCCTAGACAAAAGCTAGCCAAAGAAGTTTATTCTTCTTTGAACATTTCTTGCACATTTCAACGATGAGTATAGAGCAAACTTTCATGGTGATGTGTGTAAACCAGTGGATCTTCCAGAGATGATATCTTCGGCTTACCAAATGGAGAATAGTTTTTTGCATATGGTGGTGAAGAAAAAAATGCAACAAGCTAACAGATCCTTGGTTCACCAGGTGAACAAATCTTACTCTAGTCAATCAGTGCCACCATGGAAGATGAAACAGTTAACAGCAAATACGGTGTCAAACAATACCAAACTGTCCAACACCAGACCGCAGCTCAGACTAACAGAAGCACAAATTGCAGAAAAAAAGAGATTGGGATTGTGTTTTAAATGTGATGAGAAATGGTCTAAGGTGCATCGCTGCTCAAATCAGACGTTGCAAGTGTTAACGGTGGTAAATGGATTCGAAATGGAGATATTGGACCAGAATCTGATTGAGATAGAGGATGAATACATGGTGGAAGAACCCAAGGTAATGGAATTATCCTTAAACTCATTTTTAGGGATAAAGTCTCCAACGACAACCAAGCTTAAGGGTACAGTCAAGAAAAGTACAGTGGTGGTAATGTTGGACAGTGGAGCAACCCATAATTTCATCACACCAGACCTCATTAAACGAGCTCACCTTAAAACAGTACAACACCCTCAACTGGAGATTTTGTTGGGTACAGGGGTGTCAGTTCAAGGTACCGGAGTTTGCAAAGATGTGCAACTGATGTTACAAGGGTTGACATTCAAGGCAGATTTCATTGTGTTGGAACTCGGTAGTGCTGATATAATATTGGGTGTTCAATGGCTGAGAACACTTGGCAAATGTCAGATCGATTGGGAGACACATGAGTTCTCATTTTTGTATCAAGGACGCCAAGTTACTCTCGTGGGGGATCCATCTCTACATTCCACAAATCTGACATTGAAACATTTGCAACCGGACTTTGCGGCTCACAAACAAGGAGTTATGTTGAATTTGCTGACAGCTCCAACATCGCAACGCAAAGAACAAGTGATATCAGCACCCATCGCAGAGGTTTTGGCAAAATATGAACATGTTTTTCAGATACCCACGGGTTTACCACCTTTGAGAGGCAGGGAACATGTCATTAACCTCCATCCGGGAATGGGTCCAATCAGCGTAAGACCTTATAGGTATCTGCATGCCCATAAAGAAGCAATGGAAAAACTGGTAAAAGAAATGTTGGATGGTGGGTTGATTCGACCAAGCCGTAGTCCGTACTCAAGCCCGGTTCTATTGGTTAAAAAGAAGGATAACTCATGGCGTTTCTGCGTTGATTACAGGGCACTGAACCGAGCTACGATACCGGACAAGTACCCTATTCCTATGATAGATCAACTTCTGGATGAGTTGCACGGTGCGAAGCTGTTTTCGAAGTTGGATTTAAGATCTGGCTATCACCAAATCAGGATGGAAGAGAAGGACATCGAAAAGACAGCTTTTCGAACTCACGACAGTCACTATGAGTTTCTAGTGATGCCATTTGGGCTAACTAATGCACCGGCAACATTCCAAGCTCTGATGAATGAGGTGTTTAAGGAGTTTCTGCGTAAATTTGTGTTAATATTTTTCGATGATATTCTCATCTATAGTTCGAATATCTCGGAACATAGCAAACACTTGGAAATGGTTTTGCAAGTCTTTGAGGATCAGCACTTATTTGCTAACAAAAAGAAGTGTTCCTTTGGGGAAGAATCAGTAGAGTATCTCGGCCATATTATATCATCGAAAGGAGTAGCAACAGATCCTCAAAAGATTGCTGCAGTGGAAAAATGGCCGACACCAAGAACAGTAAAGGAACTTAGAGGATTTCTGGGTTTGACAGGCTATTACAGACGATTTGTACACCACTATGGATTGTTAGCAAAACCTCTAACGGAACTCCTAAAAAAAGATCAGTTCGAGTGGTCCAGTGATGCACAGAATGCTTTTGATAACCTGAAACAAGCAATGATCTCTACTCCAGTGCTCGCATTACCAGATTTTACTCAAGTCTTTGTGGTAGAATCCGATGCTTCAGGGTATGGGTTGGGCGCAGTGTTGATGCAAGGGAAGCACCCAATTGCTTACTTCAGTCATGGCCTATCTGAGAGAGAACAGCTCAAACCTATCTATGAAAGAGAGTCAATGGCCATAGTTTTGGCGATTCAAAAGTGGAGGCACTATTTGATGGGCAGAAGATTTGTGGTAAAGACTGATCAACAGAGTCTTAAGTACCTATTGGAGCAGAGGGAGGTTACTTTAGACTACCAACGATGGCTTACAAGGATTATGGGATATGACTTTGACATTGAATATAAAGTGGGGAGTGAGAACAAGGTGGCTGATGGGTTATCTAGAATAATTCCATCCACAACAACATTGTTATATTCCATAACGATTCCTTCAAGCCTACAGCTTCAGGATTTGTTAAAAGAGATAGACGAAGATGAAGAGATACAAGAGTTAATTCGTAAGCTGACAGTGGGTGAATCAGTTAAGGCAGGATACTCTATTAATGATGGAAGGTTATTTTACAACAGGAAACTGGTTTTACCGCAACAATCACGTCATATTCCTATGCTGTTAAAGGAGTACCATGACAGTGTATTGGGTGGTCACGGAGGAGTTTTAAAAACATTGATGCATCTTCGGTCTATGTTCTATTGGAGGAAAATGAAAGCAACTATACAGAAGTATGTGTCGGAATGCTCAGTTTGTCAGGCCAATAAATATTCAACACTCTCACCGGCGGGATTTTACTCCAACCAATCGAACCTCCAAAACAGATATGGGAAGATCTCTCCATGGATTTCATTGAAGGACTTCCGAAATCACATAGCATCAATGTCATCCTGGTAGTAGTTGATCGGCTGAGCAAGTATAGTCACTTCATTGGTCTTAAGCACCCCTTTACTGCTTTCGACGTGGCTCAAAAATTTGTTCAGGAAATCATTCGACTTCATGGGTACCCTCGTTCTATAATCTCCGATTGTGACAAAATCTTTCTCAGCAACTTCTGGAAAGAGTGCTTTAAAGCATCTGGAACCAAGCTTCGGTTTAGCACGGCATTCCATCCTCAGTCGGACGGTCAAACTGAGGTGTTAAACAGATGTCTTGAGACCTATCTTCGTTGCTTTGCTTCGCAACAACCTAAGTCGTGGGCAAAATATCTGGCTTGGGCAGAATTGTGGTACAATACATCATTCCACACGTCCACGCAGTGTACTCCATTTCAGCTCGTTTATGGAAGAGAACCTCCAGCATTATTGTCATATGAAGAAGGGTCAACAAGTAACTTTGAATTAGAGACAATGCTGAAGGAACGTGATGCGATGTTGTCAATGGTTAAGCAGAATCTATTAAGGGCACAGAGCATTATGAAAAATAACGCAGATAAGCACCGGAGGGATCTTGAATTTGAAGTCGGTGCAAAAGTGTTCCTTAAGCTTAGACCATATCGCCAACAATCCGTAAGTAAAAGACTCTGTCAGAAGTTAGCTGCTCGATATTATGGCCCTTTTGAAGTGTTGGAGAGAATTGGGAAAGTGGCATACAGGCTTAAACTTCCGGCTGAGTCTAAAATCCACCCGGTGTTTCACATTTCACAATTAAAACCGGTGATCGGAGAAGGTTCCATAGTGACCCCTTTACCAACAGAAGTAACAACTAATGAGGAGTTGGTTATCGAACCAGAAGATCTGTTGCAGTCACGTTATGGAACAGAGGGTCATTTGGAGGTGTTAGTGAAGTGGAAGGGCCTTCCGGAACATGAGAACTCGTGGTTAAAGATAAGAGACTTCAAGCATCAGTTTCCATTATTTCCACTTGAGGACAAGCTGGTTCTGAAACGCGGGGGTATTGATATACCATGGAGAGCATACTACCGTAAAGGAAAGAAGTCAAAGGGAGAAGAAGCAGAGTCAACTACTTGCTGAGCTGGCAGTTTGTTAAAGATATTTTTAGATAAAAGTCTCAAGAGTCAATGTGAGCCCTTGTTATATAAAAGGGAGTAGTCAAATTAGTGGGTTTTATCGAGAGTTTGTTAGAGAAGTCTGGGCTTGTTCTCTGATTTGTGGAGTTCAAGAGGAATTTGCCTTTCAAGTTCATACGCTTGGGGTGTGTAATTCTGATTTCTAATCAATAAAAAGTGAATTTCTTATCAAATCATTTGGCCTTCAGGTTGATAGAGAGAAGGAAGTCCCTGCTGTACAACTGAATGTTATACAGCTGCTTACTGATATCAGCGTTGCTGTTAAAAAGCCTGAAGTAGCAGACATGATTTTCCCATTTTTTATTGAAAGCCTAGAAGAGGGTGATACTTCAACTCCTTGCTCTTCGCGACTCAATGTATGGCTCCATTTTCAAGTGATAACTTGCTGGCTGTTATTCTCTCTGTGTCAAATTTTCAAACTTTTGGCAATAGAACAAATTTATACCATATATAAGCTTATGCATACTTATGCATCTATTGCCACTTATATGCAGCTTCTTGATGCTGTATCTCGGATAGCAACATTAGGATTTGAGAAGTCCTACCGTGAGACTGTAGTTCTGATGACTAGAGGTTACTTGAGCAAACGATCGACGGAAGGATCTGAGGAAAGCAAAACATCAGCACTAAAATCTAGAACCGACCACGTAGAGTTATAATGTAATCTGATACATTGTTCATCTTCTGTGTTTTTTTTTTTTTATATTTCCTATTACACTAATCCTCACATATCCCATTGAATTGCAGACTCTTGCTGCAGGATTTCTTACAGTTGCTAGTGGTCTTGATGAATACAAAACTGCGTGCAGACTATCGCCATCGGCTGCTTTCCTTATGTTCAGATGTAAGCCTGGCTTCTGAGTCCGAACGTGGAGGGTAATTAACCATTTAAATGATCCTAGCTTGCATAAAGCTATTGGTTTTGTGTTATAATTAAACACAGAAACATAGAAAAAGAACAGAAACTACTTGAGTCAACAAGAGACAAAGATTTAAGGGATTGATTTATTGAGAGTACTCATAGTGTCAATCTTGATATCACATCTAACGCTCTCCCATCCTTATAGCTTAGTATAAGAAATGATCTAGAAAACGTTTCTCCATATCAAAATTTTTTCTTATTGACAGTGATTGTATTATTAATGACGTGCTTCATTTTCTTCTAGGAGCAGTGCAAACCTTTTAGGTCCTCTTCTTCCTGCTGTTGCGGAAATATGTTCGGACTTCGATCTACTTCCTATGTGGAACTATCAATTTTGAAATTGTTCCGCAATCTATGGTTCTATATTGCCCTGTTTGGCTTAGCACCTTCTATTCTAAGACCTCCTCTTCCGGAAGTGAAGACGACATCTAATTCCGTGAAAAATGCTGGAACACTTAGTACGTTCGCTCTACAAGCTGTAGGAGGGCATTACATTTGGAACACTCAGTGGTCTCTTGCTGTTCAGAGGATTTCTCAGGGCACTCCTCCCCTTGTTAGTTAGTCTAGCCACAGTACCATTTTTCTGCCCCCACATCAGCCTTCTATATACTGAGGTTTAGATCTTTCAATACTTTCTGTGTTTTACTGATAACTGATTGAGTATGTGCTCTTTGTAGGTCGTCAGTTCTGTAAAATGGCTTGAAGACGAATTAGAGCTCAATGCGCTTCATAGTTCTGATTGTTCTCGAGGAATTGGGAATAAGAAAGTAGCCTCAACCCAGAGAACTGCTCTTTCAATTGCCTTGGGTGGTCAAGTTGATGTTTCAGCAATGAACACTATCTCAGGTCAAACAGATGTGATGTGTCTGAATTCGATATGTAGAAATTTAGAAATATTGTTGATATCCTACGTTTTAGTATAATGACTAAAACGGTTCTCTCTCTTCTTTCAGGAGTGAAGGCTACCTATCTACTTGCAGTAGCCCTTTTGGAGGTCATACGCTTTAGTAGCAATGGGGGTATCCTTAATGGTGGCTTAAGTGTGTCTCCCTCCCGAAGTGCCTTCAGCTGCGTCTTCGAGTACCTGAAATCTCCGAACCTCACTCCTGTTGTTTCCCAGTGTTTGACAGCGATTGTGCATAGAGCCTTTGAAGCAGCATTGTCATGGCTGGTATGTCAAGTACCTGTTTATATATTGATTATATTTATAGCACACGTGGAATTTTGGTGGCAACTGGACTGGCTCTAGCTGTATATCTATGCGCATTTTGGTCGTTATGTCAACTGTCACCAGTATCAGCTTTACTTTTCTGTTTTTTTTTTACTTTTTATTCTTTTTTTTTTGTTTCCTCTGCTTTTGTGAGAACTCTAGCAGTTGGTGAATCTTATGGACATTTCATCTGGTTTCAGGAAGATCGGATATCTCTTACAGGGAAAGATGCTAGTATTAGGGAATCGACTATGTACGCACATGCATGTTTCCTGATAAAGAATATGTCACAGAGAGATGAACACATACGAGATATCTCAGTGAACCTGTTGATTCAGATCAGGGATAAGTTTCCCCAGGTAGGAATTTTGCCTGCATCAACTGTGCTTTTGGAAATTACGCATTAATTTATGGACCATCTAACAATGAGAAACGCATGTACTCTGGAGTTCGTCTTGTCTGGATACTTTGCTATTCCTTGTTCATGACAATACACCTTTAACGGTTGTCAACAATCCTGCTTGGACTGCTGCCGTTCGATCTTTATACCAGAAAGTTGTTCGAGAATGGATCTTAATATCACTTTCATATGCTCCATGCACTACTCAGGGTTTGCTTCAGGTTTCCTTCCCTATCTTCTTCTTTATGCAATTCGAATATCTTTATTTATTACAGTTGTTTTATTATCCGGTTCGGTGTGAGGAAATCTATATTTTTTTTATATTTTAATACGAGAAACCTATTGCAATGAAATAATTTCTGTCTGTTCTGTCGAAGTGCATGTACTACTTCCTTGCTCTGTCTCTAAATCTATTTCATTATAACTTTAGGCTCCTCTGTTTTCTTAAAATGCTTAAAGATGTGAAGTCTCCTTTTTTTTTTCTGTTTCCCTCTCTCTACCACTTTTATTCTTAAATGTTTCTGAATTAATTCATTGGTGTCTTTTTCGTGATTATACATTGTACTAAAAGTATTATTATAGCCTGCTGTCAATTAGACTGTTTTTTTTATTGTTTCCTTTCTGGAATAACCTGAGTTTTGATTATGCATTTCAGGATAAGCTGTGTAAGGCAAACACATTGCAGCGAACACAAACTACAGCTGATGTGGTTTCTCTTTTAACTGAGATAAAGATTTCAAATGGGAAAAATGAAATTTGGTTTCGGTTAAAGACAGCAAATACTCCAGCTGTGATGGCTGCAGCAGCTGCAGCGTCTGGGCCAAATTTAAAAGCTTCTGAAGCCTTTAACTTGGAGGTACTTGGTAGTTGTGTAGCTAATGCAATGTTAAAGTGCAAACTTACTAGACACATTGCTGGCATTGTAATACTGGACAACATTACTTGCAATGACACATTGATTTCCAATTCTGTGCGGCGCCTTCAACAATTTGTTAATACTGCTGAGAAAGGAGGAGAGACTGACAAGTCGCAATTCCGAGAAACTTGTTCTCATGCAACTGCAGTACTTCTGTCAAATCTGGTAAGTAAGAAAACATGGGTTTGCCATATCTTCCAGCTAAATAGTATCTTCTAATGTTTTATTTTCTACTATTATTGTTGTAGCAGGCTGGTGAGCCTAAAACAGATATCAAGGGATTTTCTCGTTTATTGCGTCTCCTTTGTTGGTGTCCAGCTTATATATTAACTCCAGATGCTATGGAAGCTGGTGTATACATTTGGACCTGGTTGGTTTCTGCTGCTCCACAACTGGGATCTCTTGTCCTTGCCGAACTTATTGATGCATGGATATGGACAAGTGATGCAAAGCAAGGACTCTTTGCATCTGGTGTGCGTTACTATGGCCCAGCTGCAAAATGAAGACCCCAACTTGCCCCTGGAGAACAAGAAAGCCCACCTGATAGTGACCCTGTTGCTCAAATAGTCGCTCACAGACTATGGCTTGGATTTTTGATAGATCGCTTTGAGGTTAGGCTTTATTCTATATACAATTGTGCATAGCAAGTTTATCTAGAAGTTTTATCTATATCTGCTTTGAAACCATAAGTCGATCAAAAGTGTTACGGTAGATGAGTTTTTTTGTGATCTTAGTTGAATTGATATTATTATTCTGCTAAAGGCCTTAGGTAAGATATTGCAATTCACTTAAGAATTTGCCTACTGACGATAAGGAAGCATCAATGCTACATTTGATGCAGATATGGTGTATTTGAGCGATTGTGTTTCTTGTTCCTTCCATGTTTCTTTAGGTTGTTCGACATGATAGCGTGGAGCAACTCTTGTTGTTTGGTAGGCTGTTGCAACGGAGTACAAATCTTGATTGGTGCTTTACCCACCACCCGGCAGCGACTGGAACCTTTTTTTCTTTGATGCTCCTTGGACTGAAGTTCTTCTCATGCCAAAGACAGGACGCTAGGCATAAATTTAGACGTGGACTCCAGCTATTGGAAGATCGAATCTACAGGTGACTTTTTGTTATTCTTCCTGTTTTTTGTTACATTGTAGATTTGCTTGGCGAAACATATTGAACAATTTGATAATATGACAGGTGGAGTTTAGATTGAAAGTAGCTTTATGCTAAACATTTCTTAAATTTATCGAGATTAGACATCCAACCTGACCTTTCCCAGATGCTTCGAAATACTTAAGTACTGTTGCAGCGATCTTCATCATTATCTGTGATTTACCCTTGTTTTATTAAAAAAATTTGTCTATTCCAGGACTTCTTTAGGCTGGTTTTCTCGTCAGCCAGAGTGGTATGATGTAAACATTCCGAATTTTTGTCAGAGTGAGGCTCAATCTGTTTCAGCTTTTACTCAGTTTTTGTCAAACGAGCGATCAGATTTTAGCCAATCTGATTTCAAAGGAAGAGCTCTTGAAAACGGGAACTTAACTGATTTGGTATGATAACTGTCTTCTTTATATTTCTACTTTCATGCTGCTATATGCACTATTTGGTACTTCATTTGAAGGCTAACTATGGTCTTTATGTGGGATGGATGTTTACAGATTGATCAGCATCATCCTGTCTGGGGTAAAGTGGACAACTATGCAGTGGGAAAAGAGAAGAGGAAGCAACTGCTTCTAACTCTTTGCCAACATGAATCTGATAGGCTTGACGTTTGGGCACAACCAATTGGTCCAAAGTAATAGATCGTCTTTCTGCTGTTCAAGTTATAAAGTTTTTTTGTTTACCTACACTGTTGATATTCATTCTTCCAAATTGCAACTTATTTACAGGGACAGTCCATATCCACGGCTCAAAATAAGCTCTGGGAAATGAACCGAACATGCCAAAACTGCCTTTTCAGTGGATCCAAGGATTGCTATGTCATTAGCATCAAGATTTCCGGCAAATATTGCTGTGAGATCCGAAGTCACGCAGCTAGTTCAGGTACGGTTTTACAGAGGTCACTAAATATAGGACTAAGAAAGACAGATTCTGTATTAATTTTATTTTTGTGCTGTTAAAGGTAAACTACACATCATGTTTTTTAGTAAGTAAGAGGAGGATGTCCACAAAATCAGTGAGGCATGATGGAAACCGAACAGATTTTCATTTGACTAATTTATCAAAGTTACTAAATTTGTTGAGAATCGGATTGCTGGGTTGTACATGCTTCAAATCTCTGGGTTTAGAAAGTTACAAAATGGTATTATGTCTAATCCTTTGTATTGTTTGAGTTATATTCGGTTAAGTTTCTCACTGGGATGCTTGTTCCATTACGCAGGCTCTTGGGCTTCTCACACCTGCTTATAAGGGGCATCCACGTGTCATGGCATATGTTCTAAGAGTTATAGAGTCCTACCCTCCTGAGCGAGTGACTTTTTTCATGCCGCAGTTAGTGCAGTCTCTGCGCTATGATCAACAGGTAAGTCGTTAAGTGATAAATCTATAATTCATGCCCCACATCACTCTTTTATCTCGCTCTAAGCAGTTTGAAGAACAGTATGCTGCTTTTTGGTGATAAATTAATTAGCATCCCAGAGAACATTCGTTTTGTTGGTAATTTGTGTAAATTAAAACAAATTCCCCTGTTTTCATATTAGTGTTCCGTTTATCAGCCACACATCTTCAGAAACCGTGTCTGGACTCTCAATTGTATAAGGTTTTGGTGGTCACTTCTTTTGAAAAAAAAGATGTGAAAATTTGCAATTATCCAGGGGTTAGATGTTGTGTGATGAGCTACTTGACGATTCTTTCCCTTTACTGGGTATAAAATGTTAAAAAGCCTGTCTTCTTTTTGAACCTTTTTGCTCGCAGAGGCTAGTTGAAGGGTATCTTCTAAGAGCTGCAAAAAGAAGCGACATATTTGCTCATATCCTCATTTGGCATTTGGAAGTGAGTTTAACTTCGTGGAGTTTGTAAGGATTTCATTTTACATAGAACGAATTGGCAGACTTTTTTAATCTTGTAATCTCTGTTTCTATAATGCCAGGGTGAGTCTGTTCAGGAAACAGTGAAGGATGGTGTTTACGACAAGGTCTGCCAATGATTATCTTTATTTATGCTTTTATATATCATTGATGTCAGCTTTTATGTAGAGTCCATATTCTTTCTTCTTTATTTTATATAGATAGAGATATGTCATTACGAGTTATTCTTCTTTTGCATCTTTTTGTCTTTGGAAAACATCTTGTAGAGCAGTGATGAGTCTTGAGTCATGAAACATGGAAAACCTAGTAATCTGTTCAGCTAGCCGTTTTCGATAGCTTTCTACTGTTGGGCTGTAAAACGCTGAGCTCATCCCCCCGTTGTCTCTGTTTTATTACAGAATGCGACTTTCCGAGCATTTTTGCCTGAGGTTCGGCAGCATATAATAGCTAGCTTCACTCCCAACTCGTTGGATCTATTCAGGAGAGAGTTTGACTTCTTTGACAAGGTTACCTCTATTTTTGGGGTATTATTTACTCTTCCAAAAGAAAAACGCAGAGATGGTATCAGGAGGTATCATTCTATACTTTTTCTTACCGGAGATTGTGCTCCAATTGAGTCTGCATATGTCAAATATATAACATTTGCCGTGGCAGTGAGTTGGAGAAAATCAAAATGCAAGGAGAAGAGCTTTATTTGTCAACTGCTCCTAACAAGCTCGTCAGGGGTATTCAAGTAGACAGTGGAATACCCTTACAATCGGCTGCCAAAGTCCCTATCATGATAACTTTTAACGTTGTTGATCGTGATGGTGACCACGATGATGTGAAACCACAGGCTTGTATTTTCAAGGTAAGCTTTCTGCACTTTTCATATATATGTGCGCTCGACATGAAAGTTGTTCTTCTATGATGCCGTTTCCGTAATGTGTAGCCAATTCAAGAAAATAAATCAATGTGTCTATCTTGCTCTTCCGCTAAATGAATTAAACTACAAACAGTTTGTGTGTTTACTGTACTTTGGTCCTCTCTTGTTTCATTAGGTTGGAGATGACTGCCGTCAAGATGTTCTTGCACTTCAAGTGATATCTCTTCTTAGAGACATATTTCAAGCGGTTGGTCTCAATCTCTATCTTTTTCCATATGGAGTACTTCCAACTGGGGCCGGGAGGGGAATAATTGAGGTATGTTCTAGCTTTTTAAAACACATATTTTAAGTTTTTAACGCAGGAAAAAGCTTCTAGCTCATTCGCATTTCTCAGCCTTCCCATACCTGAGGTGTGTTGAGGTGTGTTGTTTTATTATTTTTCTTGTGGTCTTTATTACAACAGGTTGTGCCAAATACACGAAGCAGAAGTCAAATGGGTGAATCAGCCGATGGCGGCTTGTATGAGATCTTTCAGCAAGAGTTTGGACCCGTTGGCTCACCCACCTTTGAAACGACACGGGCTAACTTCCTCAGCAGCAGCGCTGGTTATGCCGTGGCAAGTCTCTTACTCCAGCCGAAAGATAGGCACAACGGCAATCTCCTCTTTGACAAGTATGATTACACACACCTTTTGAAACCCTCTTGTTTGTTAGATTCTGAATCTATGAAATAAGTCAATAACCATTACATATTTTGCGAATGCAGCATGGGAAGGCTTGTTCACATTGATTTTGGTTTCATTTTTGAAACTTCCCCCGGTGGAAACATGCGTTTTGAGAGCGCACATTTCAAACTGAGCCACGAAATGACGCAGTTGCTTGATCCATCAAGGGATATGAAGAGCGAAACTTGGCGTCAGTTTGTCAGGTGTAGTATTCGTAAACCTGTCTCAACACTTATAATCTTTTCAATGAAACCATTTGAGATTCTGAGACCGTTCTATATATGCTCTCTCGTAAAAAGCTTGTGCGTTAAGGGTTACTTGGCTGCTCGCCGGTACATGGATGGGATCATCAGTACAGTGGAAATGATGGTGGAAAGTGGATTGCCTTGCTTCAGCAGAGGAGATCCAATTGTGAAAATTCGCAAGAGATTTCATCCCGAGATGAATGAGCGTGAAGCCGCTCGCTTCATGGTCCATGTCTGTACCGATGCCTACAACAAATGGACCACCTCTGCGTACGATTTGATACAGTATCTGCAACAAGGCATCGAGAAGTAAACACCGTGTATATGTTTAGAATAAACCAAAGTATGACTCAAAATTCAAAAAAGTATTTTCTTTCTTGTTCATCAATGAAAGATGCATATTCTTTCATTTATCTTACGTTTAGAGTTGTAAATGCATATTCTTTCATTTTTCTTACGTTAGAGTTGTAATTGGTAAACAGGTTGTATATAATTTGTGATAGGTATCCAGATCACTTTGGTATATATGAACTAAATGGAAAATAAAGTGATCTCACTTTACTTGCAAACCGTACTCGAAATTCAAAACGACAACGTTTTAAAGTTTTTTTAGATAGCGCCAGGGTTTTAGTCGTTCGATGGTCATTAATGGTCGGGTTTTATAAATACGCGCCTCACAAAAGCAGAGAGACATAAAAAATACCAAAACGTGGAGAGAAAGTAACTAACTAGGGCTTCAAAGGAAGATGGAAAACCAAGAGATGACGAGAAAGATCCAGAAAAAAAGAAGAATTAGAAGACAACCTTCATCGCCGTCTGTTCCTCACGATCCCTCAGAGATACTCTCAAAGCTGCCTGCAAAATCTGCCAAGCGAGTTCGAAACGAATCGTTCGAGACGAATCGTTCCGCACGTGAACGTCCAAGGCTTTTAGTCTGCTTCAGAGAAGGTGACAAACTCTTTTCTTTCTCGATTTCTCAACAGAATAATCAGAATCGGAACGAGTCGTATTCGTATTCCCTATCTCCACGTATTGCTAGTTACCAAATGACAAAAGCAGAACATCATTTTCCCTTCACCATGAAAACAGATTCAGTTCAGGGTTTGATCTGCTTTCAAAAAACACGAAACCCTATTGTCTGGAACCCTAGCATGAGAAAGTTTTCAACTTTACCGAAACCAGGAAAAAAGTGGGAGGGGAAGCATATAACAGTGTTTTTAGGGTACGATCCAATCCAAGGTAAACACAAAGTAGTGTGCATGCCTTTTGATAAAAGAATCGACGTGTGTAGGGCTTTAACATTGGGATCAGATCATGAACAATGGAGAAGTGTCGAGACCAACCATAATCATCTCCCTACAACTGGTAAAAGCATTGTTGATTTCTACGGACGATGCATCAACGGTGTCTTGTATTATCATGCCAAGCTTGGTTCTTCTGAGAGGGTTATAATGAGCTTCGATGTGAGATTTGAAAAGTTTGGTGTAATAACATTACCATGGGGTAAGTTTAGGGACCCTATGCCCATGATGATGATATCTTATCTAGGGAAGTTAGCTTGTGTTGGTCATGTTAACACTGTGAATGAAATTTGGATGTGGGTTTTGGAGGATGCAACGAAACACAAATGGTCTCTTAATCAGTTTACACCTCGTTCACAAGATGGTCAGGGACAGTTTTGGCAAAGCAACCAGTTCAAACTAAGTGGTGCCACTGATGATGGTGAGTTGATTTATGTGCGAAAAGAGATACTTGAATCTTTGGATATTGTATACATTGATCCAAAGAGAAAGATGTTCAGAAGAGTCGAATATAGAGGCATTGTCGATGATGGTTTTAGACGACGCAACGGACTTGGAGATGGACCTCTCGGTGAGCTACAAGTTTTCAACAATCACATTGATACTGTCATGTCTTTGTAATTGTTTTCTCTTTGTGTTTGTTTTTTCTTGCTTTCGTTTGTTTCTCGTTTTCAGAACTTTAAATCTATGCAACTTTGCGGTGTTGTTGTTTTTCTTTATATTCTTTCAAACGTTGACCAAAGCTCTTTCTGTGATTTTGGAATTGAAAGTATTATTATACATGAATGCACAAGGAAACTCGTTCTTCTTCTATGAAAAATGTTGTTGGCTTGTGTTTATAATGATCGTTACTGATCGAGTCCACTGAGGAAACAGAAACAACTGCTGAACAAGAAGAAGAACGAGTGAAAAAGAACACAGAAGAAGAAGAACGAGTGAAGTAGAAAAAAATGAACGAGCTAGGCTGAAGCCTAGAATAACATTTTCTATTACAATTGGGAAACTAAAAAAACAAAAGAGTTGCATTACAAGAAAGGAAGTATATATGTTCCAAGACTCCTTAGTGAAACAAAACAAGACGAGCTCATGAAAAGGGGGATTGTTGTGAACACTCAAGACTTAGACCTCGTTGCTGATATACAAAAGATCGTCTTTCGTTATGTTCACTCTCCTGTTGTTATTCCTTCGCGCACCTCTTGTTCCAGCCCCATCAGATTGTTCTCTCTTTAAAATCGCCCAATCCAACCAAAAAAAACAAATGAATAATGAATGAAATATTATTTTGTGAAGACACAAATAGAAAATGAAGAATGGTGAGATGAGAACACAAACCTTTCTCAAGACAAAAGAGAGGTAGAGACACGCGGCTTCCCACTCATCCGTTGATAGTGTGCCTGAAAAAAAAAAAGGTTATTAGTGTTTATCTTTCCTAGCAACAAACTGGAGATGATGGTACAGATGCAGAACTAGAACTGAACATGGCTTACTTCGATCTTGATTACCATCACCTAAAGCACCAAGCTCTTTCATGTACTCGTGCACAAACTCATGAGAGTTCTTCACGAATATAAACTCTCTAAATCATACTGCCAAAGTTTCATAGGAGTAAGCAACGAGACACATAGTCGAGCTTTCCTTCAGGTAAGCAATGGTTTCCAATTTACAAGACTTTTTTGTCTAAAATCACAATTCGATCATTATTTTCATAAAACTAGATTGTACAAAGGCACAAGTTGCCTCTTTTGCTAAGGATTTTAAAAGGGACAATCCACTAAAGACAATCAACAACATCCTGCATTACAAAATGTTGTGTCACCTTAAGCAGTTGAATAAGGCAGAAGATAAGGGAACTCCTGCATAGAATCTTAGTTTTAGAACCTCAAGATGATATACATACTTGATACCAAAGGGTCTGCTAGCTTTGAACTTCTGAATCATATTACAAGAATCTTCATCAAAAAGCAGGAAAAGGGGCAACTTCCGCCAAGAGTAATGCATAGCAAACTACACAATTAAAAAATTGATGAATTTCAGTAAATTTTTAATATAAAATAACTTCACCATGAACCTCAATTCATCAGAAGCTACTTAGATAATACTAGCTTCATTCATATACAACTAAGTTTTGGCCGAGCTGGTTAGATGATTCTGGTTTTATGTGGTAGCTAATATTGAGAATCTTGAAAAAAAAAAGAGTGACTGAAAACAAGCATACCAAGCCTGGCAACTGCAGATATCGAAAGGTGCATCCTCTTCAAGAATCTTGTCCAGCTCAATCTAAAAAATCAGATAACTGATGTTTGTATGTAGAATATAAAAGCTCGCGTGTTCGTATTATGCATCTGAAAATATCATATTCATAGTTGTACACTATACTTAACAGGAGTTGCTCATTTAGCTCAAAGCAATCACCACACAATAAACGGGCTGGGAAACTAAAACTCTTACGGCGTTGATGATGGTCTGCATTACCATTATAACGCGTGCGACAATCTTTGATCTAACATGTCATCACAAAATCTTGGTGTTATCATCCTCTAAAAACTGAGAGTCACCTGATGAGAAACCAAAGAACGTCTGAGATAATCCATAATATCGAGGGACAGCCAAAACAAAAAAATTCAAAGAACTCAGATAAAAATTGAAACTTTAAGTTCGAAATGATACAAGCTTTATTTTTTATTTTTATAACTGATACGAAGTGACTAGGAAAACCCAATTAGAACCAAAATCGAATGAACTGAAAACAAAGAAGAACTTTTTTTTGTCAAAAAACAGAGAAGAACTTGGATTATGAAATATCATGAGGTAAAGAAAGTTGAAGTCTAGAGAACTGAGAAGATGAGAGTGAAGCGGGAACAAACCTTCTGGATTTAGTTTGAATCTTGATGATGAAGGAAAATCAGAGATTGAAGGAGATTCGGGATGTCCTCATTTCATAACAAAATCCGAGTACTAGATTGAAATCAGGAACTACGATCCTGTCTGACTACAGAACTTTGTAACTAGGCTACAGAGTAGCGAGAGGTCTTTCAAATCTTCACCTTTTTTCGATTCTCAGGACGCGAAAATGGTAAATCTGTCTACGGTTAGTTCATGGGGCTCTTTGGCTCAATTGTAAAAGTTTGGGCCGAAAAAGAAAAGTCAACAAACTGTAAGAAGTCAGGGTATTGCCGGTATTTTTTACTTAATGCGGATCATTAAAGTCGAATCCATACCGTCAATAAGAAACTAATCTAACGGTAATAATAGAGATCCGCGTACTTTCTTCCTATTGGCCTCTTTACTGCAGGCGAATCTAGAGCACTATATATAAAGAATCAAGAGAACAATCATGTTCATAGAACAAACTCAAATACTAGTTTTCCCTCTCATCTTTCACAGAGAAATTCGAAACCGATTTCAATGGCGGGTCGTGGTAAAACTCTAGGATCTGGGGCTGCGAAGAAGGCCACATCGAGGAGTAGCAAAGCCGGTCTTCAATTTCCGGTGGGTCGTATCGCTCGTTTTCTGAAGAAAGGCAAGTACGCCGAACGTGTTGGTGCCGGAGCTCCGGTCTACTTGGCCGCCGTTCTCGAATACCTCGCCGCCGAGGTAATTATTCATCTATCCTCCTTGTTTTTCCGATCTTGTAGTTAACTTCTGTAACCCTAATTTTGAGCCCCTTTTTTGTGTGGAAATTGAAATTAGGTTTTGGAATTGGCCGGAAACGCGGCGAGAGACAACAAGAAGACTAGGGTTGTTCCGAGGCACATTCAACTCGCGGTGAGGAACGACGAGGAACTTAGCAAATTGCTCGGCGATGTGACTATTGCTAGTGGAGGTGTGATGCCGAACATCCACAGTAATCTTCTTCCCCCTAAGAAGTCTGGTGCTTCATCGAAGCCATCTGGTGATGACGATTAAATCAAACCAATTTCAATTCAATGTTGTTCTTTTTTTTGTGGGCTTTTGTTTAGATTTAGATTAGGTTTTGTTTCTTCGTCATGTATTGTGAAGAATCTGTTTAATTGAATGTTCATATGCTTCAATTTCGGATGAAATATAAATATTCTGACGATTCTTTCTTCTTCAATTGTAGTCTTTGCGAAGTAATGTTAACCCAGAATTGCTAAATTCTCATCCTTTTAATCCCAGTATATCTGGGTTTTTAAACCTTTCTTTAATGCAATTAAAAGTTGTTTCATTCTTTAAAAGATTTCTAGGGTTTCGAGTTATGTTAACCCAGAATTGTAGATTCGCATCCTTTTAACCCAAGTAGATCTGGGTTTTTTAAACCTCTCTTTAATGCAATTAAAAGTCTTTTTCTTCTTCAAAATATTTTATAGGGCTTCGTGTTAATTTAACCCAGAGTTGTTCGCATGAGTAGATCTGGGTTCTTTTAAAAATGGTTTTGTTTGAATGACGAAGATTTGCGTAAAGATAGGATTTTTCGATTTAAAAACTGAGAAGCCGATGTGTATGACATCACAAAGATGTGTATAATTGAGCAACTATGACATATATATTATAAGGATTTGGAAGGATTGACAATGATTGGTGGGCCAATAGTGTACGACATCCATGAAAAAGAGAGATGAAACAAATATATATAAAAGAAACCGATTGAGAAAGAGAGGAAGAGTCTCTCTACCACCACCATATCTCTTCTTTTTCTTCCCTTTTTCCACACAGTCTCTCTCTCTCTCCGTTGCCTTTTTTCAGATTTTATCAGCCGCCGCGTTTTGTGGGTTAAATTGGTTGCTGATCAATTAGGAAAATGGTCTCTCCGGAGAACACGAACTGGCTCAGTGATTACCCTTTGATTGATGGTGCTTTCTCTGATCAGAATCCCACTTTCCCTTGGCCGATTGACCAAATCGATGGCTCAGCTAGTGTCAGGTATACATATCTTTTGAATCATGTCGGATTGGGTTTGTCAGATTCAGGGCTTTTCGATTCGGTTTTGTTTCTTCACCTTCGGTTGCTTTTGTTTCTGGGCTTTGGATGTTTTAGGGCTAGTAGTATCTGGAGAAAGTTCTCATGTAGTAGCTTGATCATGTTGATCAGTCAGGTTTTTTTTATGATAGAAATTGATGTCTGTATCTTTGTATCTTTGCATAAATGAAGCTTTGATCTCTGTTTTTTTTTTCTTGCATTTATTTCTCTGTTTCCTTAAGAAGTAGACGAATCTAGATTGGGATAGTAAGAGATTTAGTTGCAAGTGTGCACAGTGTGATGCCATCTTCTATCTACGATATTGATCCTTCCTTTAATTTTTTCTACTTCTTATGTTGATGTGATCTGTTTTTACAGTGTTGAAGTTGATGGCTTCCTTTGTGATTCAGATGTGATCAAAGAACCAGGCTCAAGGAAGAGGTATCAAACGATATTTGGTGGAACCATCTTTAACCATTAGTTGTTGTTCTTGCTATTCTATATAAGAATTGTTTTTGAATCTGTAGAGTTTCTTTTTTGGTTGCCAATGTTCTCATTACTGCAGGATCAAATCTGAAACTTGTGGTGGCTCTAGCTCGAAAGCCTGCAGGGAGAAACAAAGACGTGATAAGCTAAATGAGAAGTATGTTCTTGCTTTCTCTTTGTGTTCTCATCAATCTTTACTCATTAGAGTTCTTTAATCTTTTATTGTCGTGCATTAACAACAGGTTTACGGAATTGAGTTCCATATTGGAACCTGGGAGACTTCCAAAAACAGACAAGGTTGCTATAATCAATGATGCAATTCGCATGGTGAATCAAGTAAGAGACGAAGCACAGAAATTGAAGGACCTGAATTCAAGCCTGCAGGAGAAAATTAAGGAGCTGAAGGTAAAAATCTTCAGACTCGGCACTGTTACTTAATGCCTTGCGAGATCTGATGATATATGCCAACATGTAGGATGAGAAGAACGAGCTGCGTGATGAGAAACAGAAGCTGAAGATTGAGAAGGAGAGAATCGAGCAGCAACTGAAAGCGATTAAGACACAGCCTCAGCCTCAGCCACTTTTCTTACCGAATCCGCCAACAATGTCTCAAGGTCAAGCCCCTGGAAGCAAGCTTGTCCCTTTCACAACTTACCCTGGCTTTGCAATGTGGCAATTTATGCCTCCTGCTGCAGTTGATACCTCACAGGACCATGTCCTTCGTCCTCCGGTGGCTTAAAGCTGCCTCTCTACTATTTGACGGTTCACGTTTCTTCTTACTCTGCTTTTTCTGATGTAGTGATTCTCAAAATTCTTGTGATTGGAAACACAAATCTTATGCAACTTGAAACTATGATTATCATGCGGCTATTTGTATGTAAATGGAAATAAGCATGCACTTAAAGTCTTGGTTTTTATAATCAAGTCTCATTGTGCAAAAAGTTGGAAACTTTGGAAACCATTGTTTTGGCAGATTGTGGATTCTGATTCTTGATGCTAAGAATATGTAAATGTGTAGGAAGTTTATGGTAATCAATTGATTGATTTTGATTATGAATAAGTTAAAGTTTGTATTTTTTTTTAAATTACACAAACTCACAAAGGAGATTCCTTTCTTTGCTTTTAATGAATCTGTGAAATGTAACGAGATTAACAGATTTAGAAATTGTCATTGAATGCCTCTCTTGTTCATCACTTTCTTCAACAGACTCTCACGACCTGGAAAAGGACTATAAATCTTTGGCTCAAGTTGCTTCTCTATATTTTCTAATTTCCCCAAAATACCCTTCTGGTCACTCCTATTCACCGTCTTGCCATCATCGCCGGCTTCTTTTTCTCTCCCCAAACTCTGCCTCAGCCTCTCTCTCCTCTCTCTTCTCCTCCATCCATTACCATCTTCCTCTTTCTCCTTCTTGTTAATCTCTCTTCTTCTTACCATCTCGCGTCTCTCTTCGTCTTCTTCTCTACTCTGCCTTAACCTAGGAATCCGACCACCTTTGCTTGTCCCCAAAAGCTCGAAATTGATTTTGCTCCAACCAATCTTATCTTCATTATCCCAACCAAATCTCTCACTAATCTCCAACAACATCGAGACAGAGTTTGCCTCTTCTCCGTTCTTCCTCACAGAGGTCAAAGCCTTCATGCTCTCATCACTTCCACGGAGGATTTTCTCTGCAAATTCCCACTCAGTCCTATCTTTATAAACATCGTCCTCGAGCACTTCGTCCGCAAGCTTTGCCCAGAACTCAGAATCTCCTGCGCGAAGATTCTTAGAGACCCATTTGAGGTAAGAAGAAGGCAAAGAACCGAGCATTTTGCCCTTGTGTTTGCCGAAATCTATGATTGTGTCTCTGGCGGCTAGGGTTTCGATTTGAAGCTTTTTGATTAATGGTTTAGGTTGATTAATGGGGAAGATGCGATTAGTTGAAGAAGAAGGAGTTTTTCTTGGTCTGAAAGATGAAGAAGATGATGAGATTGTGCAGATGGTAGTGGGTAATGTTGGTGTTGCAGAGTGAGGATTGTGGAATAAGACCACCGAGAAACTCATTGTTGTGTTGTCTCGCCTCCAACAAATTATTTTTTCTTGATTTTCTCGCACTCTAATTTTTCTCTATTATATATATATGTTAAGTCTTTTTTTTTTTTTTCCTTTTAACGGTTTAACCTGTACGCTGCGTCTTGATGATCTCAAGAAGCAAGTCTTTTTGAAGTCATGGCCAGTCTTGAGGTGAGGCTAACCTGAATAAAATTTGAATCACTCTTAAATTACTCTCTCTGCCTCCAGTATAGACCATATTCTAGTGTAAGCGTTTTGCAATGTTCCATCTTCTAACATCACCCTTATAAACTCTCTGATTCTCAATACTCATCCTATTCCACATCTTGTATCTTCCATGAAAGAGCTATATTACAATTGAAATTACGTTGAGGTGTTCATGTTGGAGTCTATCGGATCACATATTCACATGTCAAAAGTAATTGAGAGCTCCCCTCCTTTAAAGTTAGGATAGTGGGAATGATCATCAATTCATCATAAACATAATTTATGATTTGAAGATAAAAAACAAAACCAAAACACAAAATGTCATTTGGAGAAGAAAAAATACTTCACTTACGTACTTAAGTGCATATAGTGAGATCTTTTCTTGAATGTTTTCTGCTCCATTTGTAGAATTTTGGTATTAGTGATTCTGATAATTACAAAATGGACAACATAAGTACTAATAGAAGCAAACGACGAGTTTCTGAGCATTTTATGTCAGGAAAGCTGGTTTAGATTAATAAGAGATCAGAATGTTGAGTCTTAATCCTCACAAGCTCCGAGTAAAAACTAGCTAATGTTCGATACCATTTTATCCAAATCCATATAATCCGTTATTAACTGAGACTACAATAACGACCACGTCGCACCGAAACGCTCCATATCCGAAATCAAAACCATGCAACTCTAGGTGCAAAGCTCATAAACCCCTTCTTAAGCCCTTTAAACCTAATAACTCCATAGTTCCGTCCAGGAGTTGTAAGTTCCAGTTAAAACCACTTGTTTTTAAAACGATGAATATTTACAAGAAACCGCTTATAATTGCAATCACTAAGAAATATACATATTTCAACGTATTGGGTGATGTTGCAACTAATAATATTAAAAAAAAAAAAATTGTTTAGAGATCAAATCAAACAAGCTCTGACAATAATTTTAAATCAGTTATCTTATTACATAAACTTTTGTTTAGATTTCTATATCAGTAACAAATTCAGTAAACTCCCAAATTCTTTTAGAAACTCCTCATATATTCACGGATCAAGTGGTGTTAACTCTATCACAACCAATGAAATAGCTAGTTAGAAAAGACGAGTTTAAATGATGGATTAGGGCATTCAGAATCCAGAAACATTCAACGACGATCTCATTATCTAAATCTGTTGATTCACTTTCTCTTTTTTATTTTTCAGGTTAGAAATCGGCGTCTACCAATTTGTCGTCTTTTTTTTCTTGTGTTGATACATGATTCCATTAGTATTATTATTTTCATTTTTGTTGTTGTTGTTGTTGTGTGTAGAGTGTTAATGGAAACATCAAATTCAAACAGCCTTTGTACAACCATTTCATCGATGTCGGCATGTTTTTTTCGCACCATAGAATATATTGATATATTATTATATAAATTGGACCACTGCAAATACTTGAACCGTGTGGTCATACTCTAAAACATGTGAGAACCCATCTTGGTAATTATCAGTTGTGTTTGTGTATGTCGGCTTCTTTCCCTAAACGACGACACAATATCTACTTTCAGAAACTTCGAAAATAAATGAGATATAACAATAGTCATTAAAATTAGATATTTTGATACAACAGAAAGAAAGAAATGAACTTTATCTTCCTTTTTTCTTTGTCCTTTTAAGACTCTCTTAATATTCCTTTCTATATATAGTGATTATAACTCATTCAAGATATACATTCAAGAAACACGCATAAAACTCATTCAAGAAATACACATAAAACCTTTGTTCTTGTACTTGTTTTGTGACTCGAGAATATCAAGCTATGGCTCAGAAGGTACTTTACTCTCTAATGTTCTTTTCCGGATCTGATTTTCATCATATCAGTTCTTTTTTTTATGCAGTTACTGTTAATAGTAACTAATTAAGGTTAGAATGATCAAATTATATGATGCTTAAAAAGGTACTGATGATGAAGTTGAAGGTAGATCTTGACTGTCCCAAATGCTACAAAAAGGTCAAGAAAGCTCTCCACAAATTTCCTCGTGAGTTTCTCACTTTCCCTCTTCAATTTAATTTTCTGCTCGTTTGATTTATTGAGGTTGAAAAAAATTCTAAAACGTGATGATTGGATACGATTTTTGTTTTCCCAAAAAATTAAAAAGAAATCACAGACGAATTATTCGATGAGAAGTCTAACACAGTCATCATCAAGGTGGTTTGTTACAATCCTGAGAAGCTCATGAACAAACTTTGCTACAAAGCAGACGGCTCTATCAAGTCCATCGTGATTCTAGAACCACCCAAACCACCTCAAGTCCAGGCCCAACCTTTACAGAAGCCCAAAGAGCCCGAGAAGATTCCAGCTCCAGCTCCAGCTCCGGCTCCTGTCCTCCTGGTTCCGACTTCTCAACCGGTGCCGATGTGGCAGCCGTACCACTGTGGGCCGTACTATGAGGCCCAACAGTTCGAGTGTTACGGAAGGCCCATTTACGATAGCTGGGGAGGTGGGCGACAATGCTGCCACGAAGTCGCGAACCAACAAAGCTGCTCCATCATGTGAAACACTGAACTCGTCCTATAGACTATATAGTTATAGTATATACCAACAGAATAAATACACGAAGTAGTTATTAATTTTCTTCGTCTTTTAGCAATACATATTTCTCTTTCGAGGCATCTTTAATATATGTACACACAATATAGGGATTTGTCTTCTTGTATATATCTCGTTTAATTTCTGTTATAACCTATGAATATGATATTTAACATTTGATTTGCTCGTTCTTGTTATCTAGGAATGTAATAGGGGATTTTCGTCTTATATTATAGTTTCTGTGACAAACTGTTGTGGATTTAACCACCTTAAGTCATCTTAAGCTTCGTTTAACATTCTCTCTACACTCGCTTCTCTCGTTTGTTTACCAGTTAAGTGTGTTGTACGGAAACAAAGAGAAAAAAAAGAAAAATAAGAACACACGGTTTGTTAATCCAATTCAACTCATCGGTATGATGAAGTTTACATCTGGGGCCGGATCAGTCCATGCAATATATGACCAGAGAGAAAGTTTACATTGCTATTTCAAAGCCACAACAGCTTTTAACAAGAAGCAGAACAGAGTAAAATGCGACAACAACAAGAAAATACAAGGGTTTGATCCTTATATAGATTTGCAGAAGAAACCCTCCAAGTCGCACAGAGTCTTTGGTCTTTAGGATGTAGCCAAAGCACACTGTTTTGATTAAAACTCTGTCTCAGGTCTTCCAACAAACCGAACCAACCATCTTCAGTTTCCCAATGAACCGAACATTAAAACTTGAGACACAAAACCGGCTTCAGCTTCAACACAAACAGAAATAAGCATTGACGTCGCTATGTTGCAAGTAATAATTGTTGAAATTGATTTCAAATGCTAAACGTTGTTAGTTTGGAACGATACAGAGTATTTTAAATATACTTTGTTAGCACTACTTGTTAGTTAGTGATAGAAACTTATGGCAAAATGTGTAAATCCAGATTTGGTATCTGGCATAGCGACGGGACTTACGCCGGATCAACGGCGGCGACTTCTCCCATGGTTTTAGTAAGAACTTTCCCTCGAATTGGTGAAGAGCTTGATAAAATTGCATAACATTGGAATTCAAGGGTTTGAATTTGGAGTCCATATTCAATAGTCTCCATTTACTTTGAAATTACAAATATGGACCCTAAAAGTATCCAAAAATTTTAAATATTTTCCTAATTACTTTCTATTTAATCATATTTAGGACCTGATTTTTTTTTTACCACACTAATTTCGTTTCTGGATTTTGTAAGTGAAGATGGAAATGTATCTGACTGTTTTTATAATAAATCTTCTCAAATTTGTTCAAAAACTATTGTCCATTGTCTTTCTTCTTAAACCTCTTCCTTAGATCCACTTTCAAGAAATAATACAAAACAAATTATTCATCGTATGATGGAAATAAAACACTACGAAGTTTAGATATAAAGAATAAACCAAAATAAAGTTTTATATAAAGAACAAAATAATATTCCTTGCAAAAATGAATCATTCATCAAACAGCAGTAGCATAAACATCCTCAAACCAATAATGGTTGATGGAATTGTTGAATTGTTGATGGAATTGTTGAATTGTTGATGGAACATCCTTAGATTGTTGATGGAACATCCTTAAAGCATCCTTCATGTAAATATCTTTGATAGAATTGTTGAATTCTCCCAACAAGGTTGTTTCTTATTAAGTGTGGTTGATCGTCACTTTTTCTGATCTGATATATAAATAACTAATTCAAATTAATAAAAAAATATAAAAAATAAATTACCAATGCGCAGAAATAGCGAATGGCTTGGAGGCGGAGGCAGAGACGAAAGCTAGTGGTAGTAGGAATGTTTCGGTGGGAACGCGGAGAGAGAGATGTCGTCGGGAAGAAAACTGGCAGCCGCTGGCCGGTACAAATAACAGCAGAGCCGATTGTGACGGTGGAGCCGATTGTGACGGTGGAGAAATTTCTTTCACAAAACAAGCTAAAATGGTTCAACAATGGTTTTACACATTTTGAATTAGTAAATATGTTCTTGTGAGAAAATGAGCACAAGAAAATATACTAACATGATTTGATTTCACATCCTCTAATCAGCATTTTGGACTTGTTAAAATCTTGCTAAACTACAATAGAGAATAAAAACTTTGATTGCCAATGTAAATGATTGGATTCTAACGATTGTAATTGTACATTTTTAGAGCACTCCTTTATTTAAGAATTTGATAGAAAAGCATCTTATTAAACAGATAAATTACTAACAAAAGATTTCTTACACTAAAGAGTCAGTTCTCTCTTTTCATTAGTCGATTTTAAATCCTAAAGTGATAATTATTAATAGGTACAACTCCAAACCCAGTTTTACCTTTAAACTAAAAGAAATGTCGTGTAGATAGATACTGCAAAATTCTCTTCTAGCTTCTCATCTACACAATTTGATGTGGTCGTTAGCCGTTATCAAACCAAATCAGATCAAAGATACCAAACCAAACCTGAATCAGAAGGGAAATGGAGCTCAAAGGCGAGTCCAACAGAAGCAGAGATGAAAACTTGGACCAATCACCCTCAAAGAGTATTTTGTAGAGACATCTCACCTTTTTCTCAAACCAGCATTGGAGATAACCAGAATCACTACATCCGGCTAGATTTTGGACCAGAATTCACTCAAGAAGACATATGGGCTTTTTCGTGGAGTTCAAGCCCAACCACAAAGGTCTAAGCTCAGACCAGACACAATCCATGTTCTTGACTCATCAAGGATTCACAGTGCAGTGGAATTAGTCCAATCAGAGTTCAAACAAAGGAGTTATTCAATGTACAAATTGGGTGATTCCCAATTTATCTGATTTGGACATACATGTCTTAGATGGAGGTTTTCGATCAACCAAAAAGGAAATAAGCTGTAAACCAAATTGGTCTAAAATCTTGACCCATCAGAGAGTTACAGTGAATTGGATTTGTACCAAAAAGTGGTTTTTGTTGGGAAGTTATTCACTTTCTAACGTGGATTGCCTTATTTAGAACTTTCTGGATTTGGGAGACCCCAAACATATCATTAGTGCCAGGAGACTTTGTGCTACTTCTAGAAGCTGTATACAACATTCCAAGGTGAACCAAGATGCATTGGAACAGGTGAATCCAATTGTACCTCGAATTAAACCAACTGGAGTCGTTTTTAGAAAATATGAAGACCAATCGGTTTAATCCTCTACAAACCAGATTTTGGCGACCAGGAGAGACTCTTACATGTCTAGAGGAGTCAACAAACTTTTCCCATACACCAGCAACCATAGGATCAGGTGCATTTTCCTTATTTAGATGTGTTCACATTAAGATCATTTACTCTCTAATGGCTCCTTTCCCTAAGATGCTGTGTTTCAAGAGATTTCTATGCGACCAGAATATTCCAGAGAAGCTCACATATCCCTTCAAACCGTCCAGATACAAAGGCGACATCACTTCCTTTGTTTTGGCCGATTCTCGTCATAATAGCCCCAATCGCTATATTCTTTTAATTTTATGATTTCTTTTCTTGTTTGTAGGCTTTAGAATGTTGTAAGAGTTCTATATAAAGCTCTATAGATCATTTGTAAAAATCACCTCTCAATCAAATTAATATAAGAACTTTTTGTTTTCTTTTAAAGAGTGACTTAGAAGAATTGTTCTTTCTCTTCTCTTGAATATTATGTGTGATTCACTTTGTTCATTAGAAACCTTGGATCTAGTTATTTAAGTGATTCAAATTACTTATTCGAACAAAGATTGAGAGAGTCAATCAACTCATTTGATTGAGAGAGTCAATCAAACACCACATTCCATCTCTATCATCATCCATCTTCTGCAAAGCTTGATAACTTTTGATCATCGTGAGATCAATAAGACAAGGTGGATTCCGAGTTTTATAACAATTTAACAGAGCTATAAATCTGCGAGGAAACAAGTTACTATTGAGTAAGCTTGACAAAACTATATTACCTCATTTGCCTGCCGGTTGCCAATAATCCTACCCAAAACGTTGATGGTTTGATGGTTTGAAACAAATGTCAATGATGATCAACGTTTACATCTCTGCATCATACAAGATCAATAAAGAAGAAGAAGCTGATTGGTATGGAATTCTCGGTCTGATGATGAAGCTGTAAAGAAACAGTACACGAAGTACACTGGGTGTGAGTTTGAACGACAGTGCATCCTTATCTAAAAATGTAAACAGAGACATTACAAGGAGGGCCTCATCTATCTCCAATCCTTCTGGCTAAATAAACTGGGGAGAGAGTTGCAAAGAGAGCAAGAGAGAAGATGAGGTTTTGAGAGACGAAGGGAAAGTTGAAGAGAGAATGGTGAGCTTTTCAGGGTTTTGAAATTGATGGAGATGAATCTGGCTATGGTTAAAGCTTCAGTGAAAGAAGAAACTTTGAGTGACAGGATTGAACAAGCTAGAGCAAGATGTAGACAAGCTATTTTAGTAGCTAATTCTCTCTGAGACAGTTTAATTTTCAGTTCTTCTTCTGTAAAAGATCTTATCTTTTTTTTTTTTTCTGTAATCATCTCTGAAACATTTTTCTGGAGGAATTGAAGATGATAGAGTTGAACAAAAAAAAAAGGCTACCTTTTTCCTACCAAGGTAAGCACAGCTATCTCGTTTTCTATTATACTTATGAGTTATGACTAGTGAACTTAACTAGTGAACGTTTTCGTCTCTTACATGGACTGATATAATTTTTCATTTGGCTGTTTGAAAATGTAATAATAGTTTGAATTCATTTATTTTTTATTCTCTATTGTTGTGTATATTTGTTTGTTAGATTTCCTTGCATTTTAATGTTTGAAGACATGATCGTGAAAACAAAATAGAAGAGAGTAGATAAAAACATATTAGTATCCAAATAATTTAGTTTAAATAGTTTTGAGATCATTTGATTATTGTTCTATGTATTTTAGATCATTTGATTATTGTTCTATGTATTTTAGACATAGTTTTTTGAAGTACCGTACAAACTTGTTCGATTTTGATAATTGTTCTATGTATTTTTGACGTAATTTTTTGAACTATCGTACGAACTTGTTCAAAGAAAAAAGAAGATGTTAAACAATTTAGAAGGGGTATGAGAGAATTAGAAAGAAATCATACAAATTTATACTAAAATATTTGAAGTCAAAAACCCGAATCTAGACTTCACAAATATCGTCATTCCATTATAGACATCTCATTTGTTAATATTTATTTTTTTTGTTAAATTTGACTAACTATTGGTTTTATTAAATGTGAAAAACAGTTTGATTGACAATCAAATAAAGTATTAAATCATAATAATTTAGAGTAATATGTTAAAAATTATTTTAACACATACTCAGATAAGAATCAATCAAAAAATGATATGTAATTAAAAAATAGGGTTAAAAAGGTTTTTTGCAGCCAAAATTCATTCTATAGATGACACGTAAGCAAAACGCTGTGAAACTCGTTATGAATACGACATTTAAGCAAATCACTACACAAATAAGTATATAGATATTTTGTTATTTGAAGAATAGAACTTTCCATGAAATGGGTTTGGGAGATGAAAAGGAGAGCTTAATAAAATGGCATTGGAATTCAAGGTTTGAATTTGTAGTCCATATTCAATAGTCTCCATTTAGTTTGAAATTACAAATATGGACCCAAATTTACCATAAATATTCCAAATTAAAATATTTTCTTAATCACATTCTGTTTAATCATACAGACCTGGTTTTTTTTTAACCACATTAATTTCGTTTCTGAATTTTGTAAGTAATGATGGAATGTTTCTGACTTTTTTTTCAATCTTCTCAAAATTGTTCAAAATTTATCGTCCATGGCTTTCTTCCTATTTATCTTCTTCAGATTCACTTTCAAGATCAAATACAAAAGAAATTATTCATCATATACTTACATGATAAGTAATGGAAATAAAAAACTACAAAAATTTATATAAAGAAGAAAACCAAAAAAGTTTATATAAAAATACAAAACTGTTTTCCTTGCAACAATGAACGATTCACTTCATATATATGATTCATAAGCCATTCATCAAACAGTAGTAGCAAGAACATCCTCAAGCCAATAATGCTGGTTGGTTTCAAACACAATGTCAGACCACTTAAGCGTCCCCCAAATCTCTCCTCCTTGGTCTCGTTCAATCGCAATTTCTGCACAATACATTATTTTCTCCGTATGGTAGTTAATAGTCTTATATACCACCCATAAAACCGACATGTTGCCACCATAATCCGTCAATCTGACCGCTGATATATCACTTTCCATATTAAAAGGGAACATAAAAGAACTAGACAAACCTTTCAACGGTATCCATATTCTATTCTTGGAGTCATACCAATAAATCATCCAACAATAATAATGGAATAACACGTTATCTATCACACAAATGGGTTTGCCACACCATCCCCAATGCATCTTTAAGTCTGCCGCTCTCCATTTACCTTTATGCACCTTGTAAGTCACATTCCGTTCATGAGAACCCACATAGATGGTTCCTTCATATCCCATGGTTTTGTATTCAGAGCCTATACATATCTCCTCGCTAGGGATCTGCAAAAACTCCCAAGATTGGGTCTTGGTATCGAAAACCTCTATCCAATTCGTTGAATCGGCATTTTTGCAGCCTCCCGTAACATATATTTTCCCATCAAGAACGCAAACAGATGGTAACACACGGGCCACTCGCATGCTTGGAGCATCATCACGATATGTGAGAGAATAACTGTCCATGACCATGACTCTAGACGATGGATTAGTTACACCGCCTATGGAATAAATACTAGAATCGACCGCTACAACACCCGACATGCGCTCAAAAGGAGAATTAGGAGATGAAATTGGGACCAAAATTTTGCTAGAGCTATTTGGTTTTTGGCAGAGAGTAAACCAAATCAGTGGGTTAGAGCCAAGACCGAATCGTAAGGACACGTAAAGACAACTCTCAGTGCGGCCTAGGAATGAACGTGTTTCGTAAAGCTCACGTGAAGCAATGATAGAACGGAATTTCTTGGAAACTAAGGAAAGACTCGGGTAGTGCAATCTTGGGATACGGCTTAAACAGTTTAATACCACATCGTCAGGAAGCATCTGAAACGTCATCACATGTGACTCTTCTCCGTTCGACATTAACACACTGTTTTGGATTCGATCTAGTTACGTCAACGTTCTTGATCAGTTGAACAAAGTCTTCCGACGTTTTCGTTTAGATATACTGTATATATACACTCGTAAGTCGTATATGCAATCCTAGTCTATTTAAGATTTGACCGTATCTCATTATATCAAGGGATTCGGCTTCCTAATTCAAACTAGAATATATTTTTTTGTTATTATTGAGGTTTTATTGGTTAATTTGTGTATTTACTATTTAGATAGAGTTTTTATGACTTCAAAATTCAAATACTTTATTAAATTTATAAGGAATTTCATTTTTTTCTTAAAAATTGTCAACGATTCTTAAAAATTATCAAATTCTTAAAGTAGAAGATAATTACACATTTTGTAGTGTTTTATAATTTTATTTAAGTATTGCGTAATATCTTTTTTTATTGTGTTTGTTTATTACTATATACTATCTTTTCTGTTGATTACGCATTACTAATTATAAATTGTCTCAAAGTTCAGTTATTATACACTGTTTCCAAAACTGTTCATGTTCAAGTTCGTGTGTCCTCTGTTCGTGTTCCTTGATTCAATCGATAAGGAACAGAGTTAGTATTAACGGATGAATAGGATTTTTTTTTTTTGAAATGAAACGTCCATGGATGATGGAACATTAGAATAAAATAAATTTGTCTCTAACCATATCATCAAACCCCGTTCATAGACCTTGACAAAATAGTTTGCTGTTAACCGACATTGCATATAGATATTTATCATGATCATCATCTATCAAAATTGATATAAATAAACGAGCACAACAAAACCAAAAGAAATCATTTAGGCTGTGAGAAATTCAAAAGGAGAAGTAACTTTAAACATTCACAATGTGATTGAGTAACTTTATTTTAAAAGAAAAAGTTGAAGTCCTTAGAACATTGTACATTAGAAGGCTTCATTAAAAATTGTTTAAGATTATTATAATATTTTTTTTAAGCAATCCTTTATGGACCGTGTCCTAAAAATCTTTTTGTAATAGTTGACTCTAATCTTTTAGATTTCTTTTTTATTATTTTAACTTAAAATATTCATTAGCAACTCAAATAAAAAAATATGAGAGGTCCTCAATAGACATGGTATTACATTCTGTACAAATTAGTCTCATCTATTACATTACAAAATGATGTAAAAGAATGGAAATAATAGAACCGACGTCACTATGCTACATATATAGTAACAGTTGTCGAATTTTATGATACTAACTTAGGTATATGTGTTCATTACTTCAATGTAATTAACCTAATTTGTTCACTCACACATAAAAGAAGAAAATTAAATACCTTGTCATCTTTACTTACCTCTCTTCTTTCTCTTTGAATTTCTTTCATTATTCCTATATCTTAATTTTTTTCATTATTTCTATATCTTCTATATTTAAAGAGTGACATGTATTATCATCAAGGAGAAAAACAAGTCGTTTACTTCACCACACGATGCTACTTTATACAAAAACAAAAAAACTTTTTGTAATACTGATGCTATATTTAAACCTTTTAATACTATTCATGTGAACTTTCGAGTAATATTCAACTTTATTTTCAAAAGAAAACTTAAAGTCTTTAGAGTCTGTACCAATTAGTCTCCCATATCATGTTACAAAATGATATGAAAGAATGGAAATAGAACCCACTTCACTATGTAAGATAATAATAATAAATTTTACTGTATGTGTTCATTACTTAATTGTAACTTGTAAGTCACCCAAGCTAATTTGCTCACTCACCCAAGCTATTCTATTTACTTAACTTCTATTTTCTTTCTCTTTGAATATCTTTTACCAATACTTTTAAAGTTTACATTATTCCTATATTTTCATATTTTAAAATGGCTTATGCATTTGATAATTAGTATCTTCGATCATATTAGTATTATCAAGGTGAAAAGGAGTCGTTTACTTCATCACACGACGTCGTTTTCAAGTGGGATCAAACGAAGTGACGTTTTTTATCTAAAAATATATAAACGATACTATCTATATCTATATACTTATTTGTTATTTGTGCAGTAATTTGTTTATGTGTCATGTTCATAATAATTTTCAAAGCTTTTCGCTTACGTGTCAGTTCAAGAATGAATTGTGGCTTTAAAAAAACCGTTTAGCTTTATTTTGCAATTACATATCATTTTTTTATTGGTTCTTATATGATGATATGTAAAAAAAAACTTAAAACAAACTGGTCTAAATTATTATGGTTTAATCTATCTATATACTTATTTGTGTAGTGATTTGCTTATGTGTCACGTTCACAATAATTTTAAAAGTTTTTCGTTTACATGTCAGCTCTATAAAGAATTTCGGCTGTAAAAAAACTGTTTAGCCTTATTTTTACAATTACATATCATTTTTTTATTGGTTCTGATGATATGTAAAAAAAAACTTAAAACAAACCGGTCTAAAATTATTATGATTTAATGTTTAATTTCATAGTCAATCAAAACCGTTTTAAAATTATATATAACAGAAATTTGAAAAAAATATTTACAAAAACGTTTTTTTATATAAAAAACGGAATCTATATCTCTTAGTGTTTACCATTTTTATGTTTCCGAAATTTAGAAAAAAATAACAAAAATTTAAAAGAAAACAAAAAATAAAAACTATTTAAAAAGTAATGAATGTCGTTTCAAAACAAAAAAAACTAAAATTTTTTATAAAAAAAAACTCTAACAAAAAAAGTTATAAGAAAGAAAAAAAAAAAATATATATATATATATATATATATATCTATCTAACTAATGAATGACAGTATTTGTGATGTTTAAACACACATAAAACAGTGATCAAAATCGAATAAGTTTATACGATACTTCAAAAAATTACGTTTAAAATACATAGAACATTGATCAAAAGATCTCAATACTATTTAAAATAAATTATTTGGATACTACTATATTTTTATTTACTTTCTTATATTCTATACTGTTTTCATGATCATGTCTTCCAACATTAAATATAAGAAAATCTAACAAACAAATATACTCAAAAATAAAAAACAAATGAATCCAAACTACTATTAGATTTTCAAACAATTAAATGGAAATTATATCAGCCCGCGCAAGGCGCAAGAAAGTTAACTAGTTTGTAATGGAAGAAGGAAAGCCTTATCTATCTTCAATCCTTATCGTTTAAACTCTAAATCAATGGCTTCTGTACTACTTCTTCAATCTCCTTCTTTTTCTACGAATCTCAACGTCGCAGTACCAAGAACCTATAGCTTCAATGTACAAAACATTCGTCGAACAGTGAAATTCTCTTCAAATCCAGAGCCAAAGGATTAGTTTTTCGAACTCACACCTGCACCTGAATCGATCAACACGACGAGCGTCGAGAAGTTCCCAATTGAGAAACGAAGAAGATCTGAGATCATTCGCGACAGAAAAAGAGGGATCGTGAAGCCTGAGCCTCCGAATTTAGAGTTTGGTTGGAAGAGAACGAAAGAGATAAACTTGGAGAAGCCTAAAGGGTATGTGATAATGGACTTCTTAGAGAAGTTCGAAGGGTTAATGGCGAGACAGTTTGGGTCGAAAAAAAAATTTGAATAGCTAAATTTAAATTTGGTTTTGCCAATTCTGAAAAAAAAAATTTTGAGATCTAAATTATGACACATTATAATACAAGTTTATAATTGCAAGTTTTTATCAATTAAAACAATATGTGAGATTAGATAGGTATCAATATGATAACATGATCCAAACCAGGTTTTAATAAATCTAAAAATAAATCACATGAATTTCCAGAAGCTCGAATGGCAACTCCAAACTTTTAAGGAATACATAAGAATATATATTATCAGAATCAAATTGTGGTATCTTATAATAATAACATATTGAAGCCAATTCTTAAAAATACTAATGGGTGAAAACCAGAAAAGAGACACCAAAACTAACTAGAAAAAGAGAAAATCAGAGGAAAAGAATAAGATTAAATTTAAATCGGATAAAAATGTGGTATGTAATTTAATTTTGTTGCGTTCATGAGAGAAAGAGGAAGGGAGAGATAGAAGGGGAGGTGGAGAGAGAGGGAGAAAAAAGGAGAGAAATAATGAATGCATCTTAAAATTTTGTTACTCTTCTGAAACTAGATTAATGTAAGCTAAATAGACATCTGAGAACAATGAAATGTATGTGAAATTTCAATCCTTAGAGCTTTATTCTCCTTTTAATTTTTGAAATATAGAAGTTTTCATATGAGTTAAGTGATCTAGTCATCTAGATATGTAGATCAAATTCAGTTGTTGGTTTGAGTCGTATCTAGCTGTGAACAATATGGGTGTAAGTATATAATGTCTTGGTGGATATGATTCAACATCGATAATTGTAACGAGGTTGAATACCTTTCATAGTGGGTATCATCTATAGAATATGTATGCCTAGCTTAATAAAATGGTAATCATCCTTTCTTATCAAACAATTTATGCTATATGTTGTTTGGTTAATGTCATTTATTTAGCTATAATATATTAAATTATTATTTTTTTATGGTGAAATATTAAATATTATTAAAAAATCTTATTACTAAATTATTTTTTATTATCAATAACCAATAATATGAAATATAGCGTGCTAATCAACTAGTATAAAAATAAATAAAAATAAAATAAAAGTTGATTAATTTCACAAGCTATAGACAGTTAAACCTTTATAAATTAATAATATTAAGACTGTAATATTTTATTAATTTATTAAGTTATTAATTTATCGATATAAAAATCAACTCGAAAAACTAATTTGAAACTTAAAAATGTATTAATTTATTAAACTATTAATTTATCGAGTATTAATTTATAGAGGTTATATTATATATCGTTTAGTTACATAACTTTTAAATAGCTGAACCAAATAAAATGAGGTCAAACCAGTAAGATAATGGAGATGGGATAAACCAGAAGATTAGGGGAATCCGAAATCCTGAAGATATTGCAAAACACTAAAAGTGGTGTACACGGCGTCGTTTAAAAAAAAGTCAAATTGGAGTAGAAAAATAAATCCTAACCCAAAGAACGAATTGAACCCAACAAAACCAAACCAATGTGGATTAATTTGGCTTGGTCCCAAACTCAATGCAATCTGAACCGGATTTAGAACCTGAATGATAGTGAACCTGATTTTTATTAACAAAAAATTATGGATGCTAAGCCTTTAATCTCAACGTATCCTCTATCAGAGTCAAATAAAACTAGAAATTAATCTACACATTGTGCGGGGTAATATTTTTAAAATTATCTTTAAATTTAATTTTAAGTTTTTGGTTAAACAAAAATTAGTGATAAAATTTTTTTAACAAAAAATAAAATAAATAAAACTGGTGACAATTAGATAACAATACATATAGAAATATTACATAACCGATATTTATTGTATATGTATCCATCAAATAGGATTTTGAGCTAGTTTTGTTATGCTGTTTAATTATAAGTAGTTTTTTAATATAAATGTGACATGATGTTAATATATATATATATACTTATATACATACAACATAGAATAGAATATATATATAATAATAATAATAATTTAATTATGAATATTTAATTAGAGATCAAACTATTATTTTTTGTTAATGAATTCTATAATATGTGTTAATAAAGATTATATATAGAATTGTCAAAGTAGAAAAACTATCTACTTAATCTATTTTAAAATTTACTAAAATAGTTTTTCGACCACCCATAAAAAATACAATCTAAATTTTGAAAACATATTTCAATTTTTTTATAAAAATAATTGAATTAATTTTCAAAAAATGATACTATTTAATCATGAAAATACAAATAAAAAATATTGCAAAAAGTATAAATAGATTTTTTCATATATATGGATTGATTATTATTTAAAATAATAGAATATATTTTAATATTTTAATAAGTAAAGAAATTAAATATACTTTTAATTTATATCCATATATATTTAAAATAAATGTGTGAGCTCTATATTTAACTATCTCTTACGGAGGAATATTTAATTGAATTTTCTATATTTATAAAGTTTATTTATGTAATATCTTAAACGTAAAAATTTATTTATGTAATATTTTATAAATAAATGTTTATTTATGTAAAATATTTTGTCATATCTTACAAATAAAGGTTCATTTATGTAAATGTCTACTCAATAATATAGAGATTATATGGTGTGTTGAATCTAATATTTTGAAAGATTAGAATTTTAATGAATTTGTAAATTTTGACTGGATCAAGAAAATGATTATAATTGGTTGCAAAAACAAGAAAAAGTTAATAAAATTTATGGGAATCTCATGGGATCTGGATGTTTGAAATTTTTACACCTTGAAACCACTAAAAAGGGTCATAGAATATATTGCTTAAAAAAATTTTCAAACGATATTTATGTTCTTTTTATTCCTCATCTAGAGATAACCTTTCTATGTAAGCAGGTCTGGCTCAAAGAATTTGTTGATCTTGTGCTATGATTAATTTTCTACTACAAATTATGGACTAAATATCTATGATTTGAAAATTTGACCATTTTTAGTGAAAATTTAAAATTTCAGGACACTAAAATATAAAAAAATAATAATTAAAATTGTGGAACTCTATGCATTTGCACAATTAACACTCCCTTAAAACTGGCACCGTATGTAAGACAACTATTATCTGTGACACACACCAAGATGATGTTAGCTCATATCTGAGTTCAAAATACAAACCAAACATTTTATAGCGAAGTATCTCATTTTTTCTTTCGAGTGAAGAGATAATTGCATCCTCCATGTAGACGTCATTAATCGAATTCTTGAATTCTCCGTCCAAAGGGAGTCGCTTCCTAGGTCCTTTGTTGCACACATCAATGATTGAATTATTGAAGTCGTACTAAACTACAAAAGAGAATAAAAACTTTAATTGCCAATGTATATGATTGTATTCTAACGATTGGAATTGTACATTTTGGGTGCACTCACTGTTTTTTAGAATTTGATAGGAAAGCAACTTACTAAACAATTATACACAAGTTTATTACTAACAAAATATTTCTTACACCAAAAAGTCAGTCCTCTCATTTTATTAGCCAATCTTAAATCCTAAAGCGATAAATATTGATAAGTACAAATTCAAAAACAGATTTACCTTTAAATTAAAAACAACATGTCTTATAGAAAAATACTGCAGAATCCTCCTCTAGCTTCTCATCTACATGATTTGATGTGGTCGTTAGCTTTGATCAAACCAAACCATGCCAAACCTGAATCAGAGAGGGAAATGGAGCTCAAAGGCGAGCCCAACAAAAGCAGAGGTGAAAGCTTAAACCAATCATCCTCAAAGAATATATTAAGAATATACTTTTGGCTTAGACGAGGAATCACTACTACTGGCTAGATTTTGGACCAGAATTCACTCGAGAAGACATATGAGCTCATTTCATGGAGTTTAAGCCCAACCACAAAGGTCTAAGCTGAGACCTGACCCGATCCATGTTCTTGACTCATCAAGGAATCACAGCAAAGTGGAATTAGCCCAATCAGAGTTCAAACAAAGGAGTTGTTCAACTTTTAAATTAAGTGATCCTTAACTTACTCGATTTAGTCATACATGCCTTAATTGAAGGTTTCCAACCAAACTACAAGGAATTAAGTTGTAAACTAACTTGGTCTAAAATCTTGACTCATCATAGAGTTACAGAGAATTGAAAAATAATAGCTTTAAGTTTTACAGAAACGTCACAGAAAATAAATCTGGGAAGAAAATTGTTGCCTCAACGGCCAAATTATTTAAAACTAACGATTCATTTGAAAAAAAAAACAAAATTTTCTAAAACATAAAAAAAAAACGACAGCACGTTCTTATCTAAAACATGTAAACAGTAAAACGACATTACAAGGAGGCCTTATCTATCTCCAATCATCATCGTTTAAGCTCTAAATCAATGGCTTCCACATTACTTCTTCAATCTCTCTCTACTTCTACGAATGTCAACGTCGCAGTACCAAGAACCTGTAGCTTCAATGTACAAAACATTCGTCGAACAGTGAAATGCTCTTCAAATCCAGAGCCAAAGGATCAGTTTTCCGATCTCACACCTGCACCTGAATCGATCAACACGACGAGCGCCGAGAAGTTCCCAATTGAGAAACGGAGAAGATCTGAGATCATTCGCGACAGAAAACAAAGAGGGATCGTGAAGCCTGAGCCTCCAAACTTCGAGATTGGTTGGAAGAGAACGAAAGAGATAAACTTGGAGAAGCCTAAAGGGTATGTGATAATGGACTTCTTAGAGAAGTTCGAAGGGTTAATGGCGAGAGAGTTTGGGTCTAAGGAGCTTCTGGCTAAAGCTGGGGAGATAGTTGCAGAGAGAGCGAGAGAAGAAGCTGAGGTTTTGAGAGACGAAGGGAAAGTTGAAGAGAGAATGGTGACTGAGCTTTTCAGGGTTTTGAAATTGATGGAGATGGATTTGGCTATGGTTAAAGCTTCGGTGAAAGAAGAAACTTTGAGTGAGAGGATTGAACAAGCTAGAGCAAGATGTAGACAAGCTATTCTAGTTGCTAATTCTTTCTGAGACAATTTGGTTTCAGTTCTTCTTCTGCAAAATATCTTATCTTTTTGGTTTTCTGTAATCATCTCTGGAACATTTTGCTAGAGGAATTGAAGATGATAGACGAGAATTTTTGAACAAAGATTCATGCTTTTGTTTTTCAAATTGTGAAGAACATAATGGTTTGGGAAGGAAAAGACTTAATTAATTGAGGAAAATTTACTTCCACTAATTTCATTTTGTAAGATATTTTATCAGTCCACTGCTCTGTTCTACACCACACAATTAAAAAAAAGCGAACTTTAAACCATTCAACAAAAGCTTCACTAAGACAACAACAATGGCGTCTCTTAGATTCTACACCGTAGAGATGTCGCTACAATGTTTGTCTCCATGCCCATCGTCGCCGATTTCTCTTTCATCGTCTTCTCCGAGATACCATCTTCTCAAAACAACAAACAAGATACCAAATTCACACAGAAATTGCAGAACGCTGCGAATCAGTTGTTCATCTTCCTCTACTGTCACTGACCAGACACAACAATCTTCTTTCAACGATGCCGAGATGAAACTCATTGACGCTTTGATCGGAATTCAAGGCCGTGGCAAATCCGCCTCTCCGAAACAGCTCAATGTATGTTAAAACTTTTAAATTTCTTAAATTTCCGGCAGTTTCTTGGTTAATGTCTGATTTGAACCATTTCTGTTCTAGGATGTTGAATCTGCTGTGAAGGCTCTTGAAGGTTTAGAAGGCATTCAAAATCCTGTATGAATGTTTTCTTACAGAAACCTTTCATCTTCACATTACAATAGTCTCTTGTGTTCAGTTCTTTGATCATTTTTTTTGTTCTTTGGGAACAATTCAAAATGTGTAGACAGAGTCTGAATTAATCGAAGGTCGTTGGCAATTAATGTTTACCACAAGACCTGGAACTGCATCTCCAATCCAGGTCAGTTCTTTCTCACATATATTCATCACTAATATTCCATCTTCTTGATGATTTGTAAGTAAGAAGAAGAAAATGGAATGATGTGTTTCTGCAGAGAACATTTACAGGAGTAGATGTGTTCACTGTGTTTCAAGATGTATACTTGAAGACAACAAACGAGGATCCTCGTGTTTCAAACATTGTTAAATTCTCAGACATCATTGGAGAGCTAAAAGTTGAGGTACTGAGATTCTTTGTTCTAAGTTTTTGCATGAAAAAGACTTAACAGAGAATTTATACTTCTTGGTTCTTTATTAACAGGCAGTTGCGTCGATCAAAGATGAGAAACGTATTTTATTTCGTTTTGATAGAGCAGCTTTCGCTTTGAAGTTCCTTCCTTTCAAAGTTCCATATCCAGTTCCTTTTAGACTTCTTGGTGATGAAGCAAAAGGTTGGTTAGACATTACGTATTTGTCACCTTCTGGAAACCTAAGGATCTCAAGGGGAAACAAGGTAAAATGAAGTTTCTTAATTCTGATAAAGAAGAACACTAAAAGCTTTTTTAGCGTTTGTTTATCCATAAGGCGGTATATTTAGCACAGGGAACTACATTTGTTCTGCAAAAAGAAACCGTGCCTAGGCAGAAACTGTTAGCCACTATATCTCGAGACAAAGGAGTTGCAGAGGTAATGTGTAAATGCATTCAACAAACCTGAAATTACAAACTTTCTTTGGATTTGAATTGGAATTAATGGATCATTTAGTACAACCACAGGCTATCGATGAGTTTCTTGCGTCGAACTCTAATTCTGCAGAAGATGATTATGAACTTCTAGAGGGAAGCTGGCAAATGATTTGGAGTTCACAGGTGAGTCTTCTGATAACTTCACCTAACAACTAATTTCTCTCTTTTGGATAAGCATTAAGCAATTTTACGGTTTTTGTGTTGCAGATGTATACAGATAGTTGGCTTGAAAATGCAGCAAATGGTCTTATGGGGAGACAGGTAAAAACACTTTATTAGATGTCTTTTAGTGGTACTGTATATTGTTGCTTGAGCTTGTTTCGTTTAAGCAAAAAATGAGGATTTGATTCAGATCATCGAGAAGGATGGAAGAATAAAGTTTGAAGTTAACATCATTCCGGCATTTAGATTCTCAATGAAAGGCAAATTCTTGTAAGTCTCTATACCTTTCAGAAAGTCATTATACTATATACTCTTTGTGATCTTGTTTCTTGATTGGTTTCATGATCTGTAGGAAATCAAGTGGTAGTACTTATGAACTGAAGATGAACGACTCAGCAATTATAGGCGGACCATTTGGATATCCAATCGAATTGACAAATAACATTGAGCTTCAAATCCTGTAAGATCTCTTGCTTTATCTTATTCTTCTACATTCACAAGAGAAGATGATATTCATTAAATTGCTTACAAAGTTAACAGAACCAAATTTGGTTGATTACTATTGTTTTTATTTATGCTGAACAAACCGAAATGAAACCTAACAGATAAAATTTCCATTTACATGTAAATCATAATATAATAAAAACATATGATGCATTGATTCCATTTCAAATGTGTTTTCCTATGTTATTTTTTTTTTATCAAAAATAAAACTGAATCCGAACCAGAACTTGAAACCAAACAAACATTTGACGAATCAAAATGAATAAAAAAAACATTTGGGTTTAGTTTGGTTATAAAAGTTTTGAGAAATTGGACAAAATACATTGAAGCAAACCTAATAACCAAATGATGGTTCATGCTAAGTGCTAAATAGCTAATACAAAAATGCTTGCTTTAATGTTTGCAGCTATACAGATGAGAAGATGAGAATAAGTCGAGGATTTGATAACATTATTTTCGTGCACATTCGGGAAATTTAGCTGCGTTTAAAGAGATCTCCCGTTACCAGAAAAGAAATTGTTCTATACATGATTATATAAAAATATTAGTTTATAAGAAACTATCAAGTGTTTTACAACAATGGAAGATGATTGTTAAGTTTCCTTGATCAATAGTTTTTTTAGATTGTAACAATAACCAGAAAAAACAAGAAACCACATGACATGAGATGATGATATAAGTTTCGCTACTAATGTCTAAATTAAGACAAAAAAAAAAACATAAAAAGTAATTTAGTTGAATATTTTTCTCCAGCTTGTCTTAATCCTCACGGAATATTGATTTTCCACCGAGATATTAAATCTGAAAAAGAATCTCATTAACAAGGCAACTTGCCACTAACAGCTTCCGGTGTAATTAATTACTCTGTCAAATTACCAATTTTTTCTTGAAAAAATTAGAAACAACAACAAAAAATGGAAACTGATAACGATACAAGAGAAACATAATACTGATTTTCCAGGATTTGCTCCCTCAAATATCTCCTTCAAATACTCTTTCTTTTCCTCTATTTTTCTTTTGCTTATTGGCCGTAAATCTCTCTGTCTCTGTCTCATTTGTTTCCTGTCTCTTGAATTTTTTTGAGTTCTGATGGATATCGACCAGACAGGAACTGAAACCAAAACGATGGAGACTACATCAGGTTCAAGTGACTCTGTCTTGCGTCTCACGCAAAGCTTGAAACCTACTGAATCTACATCAACAAATTTTGCCTTGTCCAACACGGCGACAACAAAATACAAAGGTGTGGTTCAACAGCAGAACGGTCATTGGGGGGCTCAGATTTACGCAAACCACAAAAGGATTTGGCTCGGTACGTTCAAGTCCGCTGCTGAAGCCGCCGCAGCTTACGATAGCGCATCCATCAAGCTCCGAAGCTTCGACGCTAACTCGCACCGAAACTTTCCTTGGTCTGATTTAACGGTCCACGAACCGGACTTTCAAGTTCGCCACACAACAGAAGCTGTGTTGAACATGATCAGAGACGGTTCTTACCAACACAAGTTCAGAGATTATCTCAGAGTCAAATCTCAGTTTGTCGCCAACATCAACATCGTGGGATCAAAACAGAGCCGAGGAGGAGGAGGAGAAGGAGGACAAGAATCAAACAAGTGTTTCACGTGGATGCTTCTTTTTCAGAAGCAGTTGACACCGAGCGATGTTGGAAAACTGAATAGGCTTGTGATACCTAAGAAGTATGCAGTGAAGCATTTACCTTTCATAAGCGATGATCAAAACGAGAGAGAAGAAGGAGAAGTGGGAGGATCTGTGGACGATGTTGAGGTTGTGTTTTATGATAAGGCAATGAGACAATGGAAGTTTAGGTATTGTTACTGGAGAAGTAGCCAGAGCTTTGTCTTCACCAGAGGATGGAATGGTTTTGTCAAGGAGAAGAATCTCAAGGAGAACGATGTTATCGTCTTTTACAATTGCGATGTCCCCAGCAATGTCAAGACATTAGAAGGTCAGAGCAACAACTTCTTGATGATCGATGTTCAATACTTTTCAGGCAATGGTTTCGTGGATCCCAAGGGATTAAACAAGACGGCTCATGAGATTTCTGATGAAGAAATGAAAACAGGAAACGTCTTTGATCCCAAGTTAGAAGATAAAGGTACCAAATCAGAGGAGAAGAAAGGAGGGTTTATGCTGTTTGGTGTTATGATCCAATAGCTATTTCGATATTATAGGGATATATTTAATATCTTAATTAGAGTTTGGTTTTGATTTGTACTACGTAGCCTCTTGATTTACAAACTTGTGTTTTCAGTTTTGATAATCTAACATTAATTAGATCAAATGTCTCTCTTGATAAGATAAAGAAGAAGAAAAGCCAAAAAGGCTTCAATGGTTCCTTTTCAGAGTTGAGACAAAGCCACCTAAATGCTAAAACCTACCATGAACAAAACAATTCTAAAGAAGACATTAAGTTAATGTCACAAAATCAAATAGCCACAAGGAGTTTTGACTCTCCACTCTATACACTCCGTACAATAAGACTCATCTTCTCAAGTGAGTCTCCGCTTACATCTCCTTCGAGTTCCATCGCCCTCCATGTCAGGAGAATCTTCTACAACAGTTTCTTCTTGTACAACCAAACCTCTGTTTCTCGATAGTTTTCTTATCGGCGTTGTCTGAGAATCTTGTGTGAAGCCTGCTGATGCAGAGGGGCAAGAAGATGAAGCGATTGCAATTTCTCTGTGTGGCATTAACTCTTCGCCCATTGGCACCATTTCAGACATTAGCTGTTGACACATATCATTACCACAAAAATTTCAGGTTATCTTCAGGACATACTATAACCAATCGAGAGTTTGAAATGAGCGAGATTCTATTTTATTACCTTCCAATCTTTGAAATCTAATCTAAACACAAAATGATTATACATGACTTCCCCTGACATCACCAGGTTTGCACTGGGTGCGTTTCTCGGCACTGAAGACAAATTTGGAGATTAGATATAAGTGAAACGAATCAAATATCAGAATCAGACGTAAGAGGATGAAAATGTGATCTTACAAGCAAAATGAGAACCACTCTTATCGACAATGATCTCTACTCGTCCGTCCTTGGCCAAGAAAGATAGAGCAAACAAATTCTCTACGGTCTGTGCAAATGATCTCCTGTTGAGCACCAGATTCTCAAGCCTCACGCGCTTCTTTTGCCGTAAGATGTTAAACATTATCGCCATGTTCTTGTCTGTATCTGTTTTCTCTTCTGATTGTGTATCATCTACCTGTTGGTTACGACATGTACTCAAATCAGCTCTTTTCTTACTTATCTAAGTCCAAACTACATAACAATCAACAAGTTCCACACGAAGCAGTGCATCATATCTTACAACTACAGAACCATTGCAAATCAATCAACAGATGAGAAATTCCAATTGCACTTTTTTTCGGTACAATTAAACAGAGCCCACGACATATACAACATTGCAACTGACTTGTAAAGGTTACTGACCAGGCTCAGATATAAAGCATTCGACAAAGCTAGTTGAGGAGTGGAAAGTTACAGATGTGAAGTCTAGAAGATATAACGAACCACAAATACTAGATATTTGTTCAATATTGGTCATAAACTCAAACAAAACAGGGTCTGCAAAACAATTCTTACCTCCTCTGGACGAACGCCTTCACCAGGCTTTGTACGTTTTCTGTGGACTGTCCTTTTCCTTTCCTTCAATTCAGTGTCCATAGGTCCCAACCTGATCACCAAAACAGGAAAACAAAACCTTTTGCTTAAAACAGAAAACGCTCAGCTGTAGCAAAGCAATGTAAAGTGGTTATTTTGAGAACTCACATTGTGGAACAACCACATGATACCAAAACAGTAGAACAGACAGCAAGCCCAAGATCCTTCCATTTTAGAGATACTGGGGCAGTTTCATCAGCATCGATCCCTAGAGAAGCCTGACCAAACCCATTGACCAAAGCATTAACAAACTCAGCCGGAGAGACCCCATTAGCAGACTGAGACTTCACCGACGACATTATGGTGTTTGCTATATCTAGAAAAGCCTCCGCATCTGCAACTTGCTCCCTAGGCTTCTGAACTGCGTGGAAAATGCAACCAAAAAAAAAAAAGAAGGTCTTTTCAGCAAGACAGAATTGGCACATTTCATTGCTAATACAACTAACCTAAGAAAACTTCAGATACTGAGAGATGAAACCAAAGAATCACAAGTTTCTAGAACATCTCCGACTCACAAAAATCTATATAAAAGAGCTGCATTTTCATTCATTCGTGAAATGAGACCAAACTAAAGACCTATCACTATTTTCCACAATGTTAAAGCATGTGATTACCTTTCTGGTGCAGGTTCTCAAATTCACTAAAAATTCGGGAGAACTTGTCCGAATCAACCCTCGTCAAATCATCTTTAGAATCTGCAAAACAAAAGAAACGCCTAATTTAACAATGGGCATAGAGAAGACGGAATAGGAGCGTGATTAAGCGTCTACACGCACCGCTGATTTTGTTAATTAGGGCGAGATACTGAGATCTGAGAATCCTCCGATCAGAGATTCCCTGTTCTTCCTCCTGAATCGGCGGCTCGTCGGGTTGCGAGGAGCCACCTACGCTCTTCCTCTGCTTCTCTTTCTCCTTCTCCTTCTTCACAGACCTTAAACGCCCCGACTCGTCGACTCCTCTCCTGCCACCGCCTTCGCCGGCTACTGCCGATTCTCTCTTCACCGTCCTCCTCATGATAAATCCAGAATTGTTCGACGAAAGAAAAAAAGTAGAAGCGAAAGAAGAAGAAGAAGAAAAAAGTGGAGACAATAGAAACCCTAACGGCAGACAAGAATTGGGGATTTTGATAATTTGAGGGAAAAACCAGGAAGAGAAACTCGACGATTTTCCCGCCGAGCCCAAACTAATCACAAAGCTTCCCGATTTTTAATTGTGCTCGCGAAAATTGGGCCGAATGAAAACTAAAAGCAGCTAAATCGAGTAAAGTAACTTTTTCAAAAATGTATTAAATGAGATTTGTCAAATTAATTCTACTTGTTGCTTGAGATGTTCATCAATGTTGAAAGACAATGCTTATAAAGCCCATCTAAGCCCAAAAAGAGTTTTAAATGACTAAACGCCATTTTGGTTTTTCGTTTCAGAGTCCCACATCGGATACGAGGGATTAATTAGAAGCAGAACTCGTAGTATAAATAGAGACTGTCACTGCATCTAGTAAAATCACGCAGCCATGTGGTGAGCACAAAGCGAACTATTCTTTCGCCTTTTACTAAAGAATACCGTGTGCTCTCCACGCTAAGTGGCATACGCCTATTTTTGGAGGGTCCTGCTTCCGAGTGGGCCCAACAATATTTAGTTGAATTTTTCTGTCTGGCTAGTGTTGTTAATTCTAAAACAACTCCAGTTTAAATGCATCAGGTAAAATGTGTTTATTTTGGTTTAAATTTTGTTTAATCGAGTTGTCCTGCTTTGCTTAATTGAGTTTAGATTGAGTTTTCTCAAAGTTTATTTTATTTTCAATTGCTTTGAATTCGAAAAAATACGAGTCTCTTTTTAAAAAATAGAAATGAAATATGAGCTAAGATTAAGAAGTACCAATTTTTGACATATCTAACGGTGTAGAATCAAAACATTAACTCAAACTGGCTATTATTGTTAGTTGAATTTGAACCATTGTTCTCTCTTTAAATACATTTGGTTATTAATATTTGCTGCTTGAGATATTGTTCATCAAGTCTTCAGTGATATCCCCTTCGACATTATTTCCTTCAATTCGACTGAAATTCACATCTTCTTGAGCTTTTGGCTGAAGGGTCTTATAGCGATGTTCCATATCCAAGAAGATGGTCTCGGTTTAGACACAGTTGGTCTAGTTTGATTTGGCTGTCTTCATATCGTTCTGTTCTGTCCATCACTGTGTTAAAATCGCTCTCCGGCTTCCTCTTTCTCATTCTCTGCATTTTAGCCATCTCAAATTTTGAAGGATTCAACATATTCTCATGATTTGAAGCCTCTTCTTGGTTAATAATGTTAAACCAAGTGTCCCTTTCTTTAGTAGTCATTTTATTCCGCAAGCTCTTGGATTTACTAACAATCTCCCGAATTTTACCAGAAGACAAATGCTTGATAACTGAAGTCAATACCCCAATTTTCCACGTCTTCTTCAAGTCATGAGACTTCTTATAAGGCGGTGCGGGACCTTGGTCTCGAGGCCACCAATACTCTTCCCCTTTAGGCCACCATGGTGGTCTAACTCCTTTCTCAAAAGGAAACCGTCTCTGTGGAGGTTCAAAATGTGGCATCAATGCCGATAATAGACATCTGAGAGTCGGCTAGTATCTTCTCAGTAGCCTGTCCTAGACTTATTATGTTGCTTTTGAGGTTTGGTATATAATAGACGTCGGCTAGTATCTTCTTATCACCGTTTTTTGTTATGAACAGTATCGAACCTTTTCCTTTGATGTCAACACGTGAGTCATCGCCAAATCGTACTTTCCCTGTGATCATCTCGTTGATTTTAGTGAACCAGGCTCGATTTCCTGTCATATGGTTGCTGGCGCCGTTGTCTAAGTACCATTCCATATCTGATCGTATCTCAAACTCCTTTGGTTTCACATTCTGTTCGTTAAGGTACACAACTTCATGCATTAACAGAGATTCTGCCTTTTGTGTATCCTCTTCTTCTTCGTTTTCTTGCGTTTCCTGGAGTTTAAGTAGACGGTCTGGACAACTTGAGGCATAATGGCCGGTTTTGTCACACCGATAGCAAACGATCTTTGACAAGTCTCTTGGCTCATATGACCTGTCATACGATCTTCCGCGTCCTCTTCCTCTGTTATTGAAGCGTCCACCACGACCCCTGCCTCTATTCGTATTGTTCTGATTGTGGTTCTGTTGTGTCTCTGTATTTGCATACATTAACTTGCTCTGTTCTTCTTGAGTTTCCTCAGCTTCTTCGTATATACGTTCTTCGTATGCTTTGAGGCGTCCAACGATATCTTCAAAACTCGTTGTGTTCAAGTCAAGTACTTGTTCCAGTGATGCCACGATGTGTATATACTTCTTCCGAGGTATACTCTTAAGAAACTTCTTAACTAGTTTTGATTCTTCAATACTAGTGCCTAATGCAGCGGCTTTCGAGCAAATTTCCGATAGTTTACCACTGAAATCATCAATGGTTTCGGTGTCCTTCATCTTTAAACGATCGAAATCTGCCATTAAGGTCTGTAGCCGTGCTTCTCTAACTCTTTCTGCTCCGACGTGTCGTCCTTTGATGGCGTTCCAGACTTTATATGCAGATTTGAATTCTCCGACTTGTAGAACAAGTGCTTCGGGTACTGATTGAAAAATTAATCCCATAGCCATGTCATTCTTGTCTCCTTCGGTTGTCTCTGTTTCGATGACTTCCCAAACCTTGTGGATTTTAAGAAGAACTCTCATTCTCATTGCCCACACGGTATAGTTAGTCGAATTCAGCATTGGACATTGAATTGATGAAACATTGATCTCCTTTGTCTGTGAAACAGGAACGATATCCCCCATGATTTATCTTTCTCGCTGATGATAAGTTGGATCGATCTTCTTCTCAAGCTCTGATACCAAATAAAGTTCTAAAGAGATTATAAGAATGCCAAAACACCTTTTGTTTTAAGAAAATCACTCAAAACTTAAAGCCTCCAAGGTCTCTCTCTAATCTCATGAATTTGCCACATCTCGACAACTTCATATTTATAGAGAGAAACTTACAAATTCCTAATCATTATAGAAATAGAAAACTTCCTTTAGATAACTCCTAAAGTATATTTAGATATCTCCTAAATATACTAAATTTCCTAAATCTTTTAGAAACCTTGTTTCTCAAGCTTTGTTCAAGCTTAGTTCAACAATCTCCCCTCCAAGCTTGAAATCCTCTAATGATACTCCTTGAACTCCAATTAGTTCCCTCATTTCTTTAAACTTGTTTCTTCCCAAGGCCTTGGTCAAAATGTCGGCCTTTTGTTCACTTCCAGGGACATGCTCAACCTCGATCTGGTCATTCTCAACACACTCACGTATGAAATGGTACCTGCGGTGAATGTGCTTACTGCGTCCATGAAATACTGGATTTTTCGAAAGGGCAATTGCTGATTTGTTGTCCACACGAATTGTTACCCTTTCAAGCTTTGTTCCAATAACTTCTGCAAACAATTCTTGGAGCCATATAGCTTGCTTAGCTGCCTCAGTAGCCGCCATAAATTCTGCTTCACAAGAGGACAAAGCGACAACTTCCTGCTTCTGTGTGCACCATGAGATTGGGCAGTCATTCAGATAGAATATGTGACCTCCTGTACTCTTCCCATCATCCATGTCTACATTGTGACTGCTGTCACTGTAGCCTACCAAGCCGTTAACACCTCCGCATTTGAAATAGAGACCGAGAGACAATGTTCCTTGTAAATACCTTAACACCTGTTTTAGTGCAGCTCCATGTGATTCCCTTGGTTCTTGCATGTATCTACTTAATACTCCAACTGCAAAAGACAAATCTGGTCTAGTATGCAGAAGATATCTGAAGCATCCGATGTTCCTTCTGTACTCATGTTCGTCAATGTGCTTTTGTTCTTGGGACTTGCAGAGTTTTAAACCAGAGTCCATCGGTATGTGACATGAGTTGCATTCACTCATCCCTGCTTCTTCCAAGATTTTCTTTGCATATCTTTCTTGCTTCAGTATGATCCCTTTCTTATCTTGTAGAACTTCGATTCCTAGGTAGTATGTAAGCTTCCCTAGATCACTCATCTCAAATTTCCCTGCCATATTCCTTTTGAAGTTGAGAATTAGATCCAAGCTTGACCCAGTGACCAGCAAATCATCTACATATACAGCCACTAGAAGAAGATACTCCTTCTCTTGTTTACGATAAAGAGAGGGCTCCTTTGAACACTTTTTAAAGCCTAACTCACTTAGGATTTTGTTGAGTTTGGTGTTCCATGCCCGTGGTGCCTGTCTAAGTCCATAGAGGGCTTTGTGTAGCTTATAGACCTTCTCCTTGCTTCCACTGATTTGAAAACCTTCTGGCTGAGTGACGTAGACATCTTCTTTCAATTCGCCGTGAAGGAACGCGGTTTTAACATCCAAGTGATGCACTTCCCATCCGTTTGAAGCAGCTAGTGCAAGAATAAACCTAACCGTTTCTATTCTCGCTACCGGAGCAAATACCTCGTCGAAGTCGACACCATGTTTCTGTACATAGCCCTTTGCTACTAGTCTGGCTTTGTACTTGTTTATGCTGCCATCTGAGTTTCGTTTGATCTTAAATACCCACTTAAGACCAATTGCTTTGCATCCGGTTGGAAGATCAACAAGACTCCATGTTCTGTTTTTGTTTATTGACGAAATCTCTTCATTGCAGGCATCTTTCCACTCTTTTATCTTGCTTGCCTCTTGAAAATCCCATGGTTCCTCATTGATTACTAGCAAGAGGTGCTCTCCTTCCATCTCTGCTAGCATTACGAAGTCCTCCAGATGTCGAGGCTTTACAATAGTTCTTGTTGACCTTCTCAAGACCGGTTGTGTATCTTCTTGCTCTGTATCCTCTGTTTCGTTGAATTCCGGTCCTTCACCGTCATCGTTTCTTTCATTCTCTTCTGATTCTTTGGTTATTTCTTCCTCCTCTGTTCTTGTGTTCGTACTTTGCCCAAATTTAATTGCGAACGTTCCCATTTCTTCTTCTGAGTCCATATCCGAGTTGCTCCACTTCCAACTCTTATTTTCGTCGAACACAACATCTCTACTTACTACGATTCTTCGTTTTGTAGGGTCTAGGAGGCGATAAGCTTTAGAACCAGGTTCTGTTCCGAGATAGACTAGCATCTGCGATCTGTCATCCAGCTTTTTTTGGTGTGGGGCGTCGATTTTTGCATAACTTATACAACCAAAGACTCGTAGGTGCTCCACATTTGGTTTTTTAAGCTTAAAGGCTTCGTATGGCGTTTGATTGTTCACCGATCTGGTCTCGACTCTGTTAATTAGATATGTTGAGTGTCTCACTGCTTCTCCCCATAAGTAATTAGGCATGTTCATATGCTTTAAAATACTTCTGGTCATCTCTAAAAGAGTCCTGTTACGCCTTTCGACTACGCCGTTCTGCTGCGGCGTATATGGTGCCGTTAAATGCCTATTGATGCCTTCTTTCTCACAGAATGCTTGAAACTCTTGTGATATGAATTCTCCTCCACGATCTGTTCTGAATGTCTTGATACTTGTTCATGCCTCTAGTTCTACCGCGGTTTTGAATGCTTTGAATTTCTCAAATGCTTCGCTCTTTTCCTTTAGCAGTACTGACCACATATAGCGTGAGAAATCGTCGATTAAAACGAATATGTACCTCCTTCTTGCAGCTGTTGGTGGCGAAATTGGTCCACAGAGGTCTCCGTGAATGAGCTCTAAGACCTTTGTTGCTCTGTATTTTGTTTGTTTTGGGAAGGGTCGTCTTACTTGCTTCCCAAGTAGACACGATGCACATGTGTCTTTCTCTTTTGGTGCATTAGTTATTCCAATAACCAGTTCTTTTGCTGCCATCGACTTGATGGTGTCAGTACTGATATGTCCTAGGCGAGCATGCCACTTTGATTCATTAGATGTCATAATCTGCAGACACTTTGTGCTTTCGACTTCTAACTCCACTTTGTATAGTCTGTTTCTTGATCGGATTGCTCTTACTAGTAGATTTCCTTCTCGGTCATGTAATGTGAGGTAATCTTCTCTCATCCTCACATCACATCCTGCTTCAGTAGCCTGTCCTAGACTTATTATGTTGCTTTTGAGGTTTGGTATATAATAGACGTCGGCTAGTATCTTCTTATCACCGTTTTTTGTTATGAACAGTATCGAACCTTTTCCTTTGATGTCAACACGTGAGTCATCGCCAAATCGCACTTTCCCTGTGATCATCTCGTTGATTTTAGTGAACCAGGCTCGATTTCCTGTCATATGGTTGCTGGCGCCGTTGTCTAAGTACCATTCCTTATCTGATCGTATCTCAAACTCCTTTGGTTTCACATTCTGTTCGTTAAGGTACACAACTTCATGCATTAACAGAGATTCTGCCTTTTGTGTATCCTCTTCTTCTTCGTTTTCTTGCGTTTCCTGGAGTTTAAGTAGACGGTCTGGACAACTTGAGGCATAATGGCCGGTTTTGTCACACCGATAGCAAACGATCTTTGACAAGTCTCTTGGCTCATATGACCTGTCATACGATCTTCCGCGTCCTCTTCCTCTGTTATTGAAGCGTCCACCACGACCCCTGCCTCTATTCGTATTGTTCTGATTTTGGTTCTGTTGTGTCTCTGTATTTGCATACATTAACTTGCTCTGTTCTTCTTGAGTTTCCTCAGCTTCTTCGTATATACGTTCTTCGTATGCTTTGAGGCGTCCAACGATATCTTCAAAACTCGTTGTGTTCAAGTCAAGTACTTGTTCCAGTGATGCCACGATGTGTATATACTTCTTCCGAGGTATACTCTTAAGAAACTTCTTAACTAGTTTTGATTCTTCGATACTAGTGCCTAATGCAGCGGCTTTCGAGCAAATTTCCGATAGTTTACCACTGAAATCATCAATGGTTTCGGTGTCCTTCATCTTTAAACGATCGAAATCTGCCATTAAGGTCTGTAGCCGTGCTTCTCTAACTCTTTTTGCTCCGACGTGTCGTCCTTTGATGGCGTTCCAGACTTTATATGCAGATTTGAATTCTCCGACTTGTAGAACAAGTGCTTCGGGTACTGATTGAAAAATTAATCCCATAGCCATGTCATTCTTGTCTCCTTCGGTTGTCTCTGTTTCGATGACTTCCCAAACCTTGTGGATTTTAAGAAGAACTCTCATTCTCATTGCCCACACGGTATAGTTAGTCGAATTCAGCATTGGACATTGAATTGATGAAACATTGATCTCCTTTGTCTGTGAAACAGGAACGATATCCCCCATGATTTATCTTTCTCGCTGATGATAAGTTGGATCGATCTTCTTCTCAAGCTCTGATACCAAATAAAGTTCTAAAGAGATTATAAGAATGCCAAAACACCTTTTGCTTTAAGAAAATCACTCAAAACTTAAAGCCTCCAAGGTCTCTCTCTAATCTCATGAATTTGCCACATCTCGACAACTTCATATTTATAGAGAGAAACTTACAAATTCCTAATCATTATAGAAATAGAAAACTTCCTTTAGATAACTCCTAAAGTATATTTAGATATCTCCTAAATATACTAAATTTCCTAAATCTTTTAGAAACCTTGTTTCTCAAGCTTTGTTCAAGCTTAGTTCAACAAAGGAAACCCGTGTTGCTACGCATTCCCATCTCGCTGAACACCATTGTAACTTCATACAAGACTGTTAAAAAAAAAACAACACACGAAGAGCAATAATCACTAAAACATTGACTGAGAATCAAATCTTAAACCCTGAATTAGCAAGGGAATTAAATCTATCATTGTCGTCACCACAAGACAAGCAACAAGACGAGCCTAGACCTAGTGATTTACCTCAAAGCGTGTTTCTGCCACTCTGTTGATGAAAATATACATGTGTGTGTATATATATATATATATTTACTTGATGAAGTACTGATCATATATAGTTGGAGATCTAATTAGAGGATTTTGTATTTACTTACATGGTAACATATTAGGTTAGAGAATTTGGTATTTTTCTTTAAAATCACTAAAAAGAGAGACTTGTGTATCTTTCTAATTTTAGTGACAATCTCATTAGTCTTATTAATTAGTTGAAAAATGGTAAAGTTTATATAACTACAAAGAAATTCTACCATAAATAGTTTAAGAATGTTGGAATAGTACCTACATATACAATACAATGGGTTGAAACAATTTTTTTACAAGAAATTAAATAAGGTGAATAAAAAGAAAAAAAAAACAAATTCATTAGAATACAGTGAAAAACAAATATGAGTGGTCGGAATAGACCTTAGTAAACACATGACATAGTTAATCTACTACATAAGATTTTCTGAAAACTGTGACGAAAAACAACAATGCATTGGCTTATGTTGATCTCAGAATATCAGTGATTGTGAAGTAAAAATTTGTCTTTCTTTGGAAATAGAAAATTTATTTTTTAAAGTGAAATGATGTTTTTGTCTTTTCCAAAAAGTCAGCTTTTAGCATAGCGACGTGACTTTCTACAAATGCTATATCGCGATACGACGTCGTCACGGTTTTATTTTCTCAGTTGGTGTATAAGTGTAAACTATACAAGAACTCAGGAAGATTCAGTGAAAATTTGTTGGGACTTGCATTGATTGGTCAAAAAGGGTCATCTGAAATTCCTCTTCGGGTAAGATTTAGGGCTGCATCAGTTTTCTTTGTCTTTACATAGTATTCTGATGTTTGTAGCTTTGGTAGAAAAGATAAAAGGTTGGTGTTTGCTAAAATGCTGACGAATGTTACGTTTGGATGCACCAAAGCTAGAAATAGGTAACGGACTTGAACATCTGTTTTGTAAATAAAATGTTTAACTGGAACTTTCTTACTACAATCCATAGAAAATTTGTCTGACTATATTCTGCTTCACGGTAATTTTACTTTTAAAGTGAACTATATTATTGGATATTTTTGTAGAACAATGTACGGCTAGTAATTAATAGGTGCATCTTCTGTGGCGTTGGTACTTGGTAGTATGTAATTTGCAAATAAATTGTATTTGTATAGTAGAATGCAATTTTTATGACGTGAAAATATTGGAAATATATAATGGATTAACGTGTGTGGTGCTCGACGTTCAGAGTCGTTCAGGGTAAAGCATTTTCATGTCAATCTGGAGTTGATCGAGATACTGTGACAGTCTCGTACAAATCAAGAATTTTCTTAGTTTATAGAGGAAAATTTTAGATTTCGGGTTAACTGATGAAACTTAATTTTTTAACATATAATGAAACAATACGAACATAGAATCCTGTGAGTTTCTAACTGATCGTTAGAATTTCATGAATGCTTTATTTTTGTTAGAAGTATGCTTAGCACCTCTAATATCTTAACAATTAAAGCCCGTTTCACCAAGTCCAATAAAAAGTCAGACACGCCCAATCAGCAAGTCCTATTGTGCGAACGTCATCAATACGCTGAGCTATAGTGGCTCGAACCGGGCAGAAGTCGACACGTGGAGAGCAGTTCGCCAACAGTGCTTTCGGTATAGTAGATTGGCGCCGAACTCATCATTACCTGCATCCGCGGACCAACTCGAACACAAAGGTCGAGGATCATGTCCCCGAAAGATGCTGCAAGTGCCACATCACCTTGGATACCCGGAGATCTGCCTGCTCAACCCCCGCTAAAAATACGTTATGAAGGCTCATTTATGAAATGCCTTTTTTTTAGCTCTCAACTTATATTTCTTTCTCTCGGCAAAACACTTAAACACTTTTGTAAAGCACACTGAACTGATTAATACAAATAACACAATATCCGATCTATTCATCTTCGAGTCAAAGCTTATCTTAAGTCAAATCTCTTCTAAATTATGGATATCTCGCCTCAATCTTACTATTATCTTACTTAAAAGAAATCCTTTTGATCAACAGTTTTCGTATCATACTGTAAAACTAGAAGTTTCTAACTTTGGCAAATAAAATCTTCTTGTCCTCCAACCAACCCCGTTCTATGTTTTTTTTTCTTATCTTGTTTGATGTTTGTATTCATTGGACCTTGTTGTAGACAAACTCATTTCTTGTTAATTAGAGTTTCCTCTCCTTTTACAATGCGACACAAAAAAGTGACTAGATTCACCTAATTATTTACATAAAGAAAGAGGTTAATAAGGAGAAAAGATGAAGCGGTAGTATAGAAGAGGCTAACATAAAAAAAGCTCGAAAGTGTTGCTAGGTATTAGCATATATGTCAATACATGTAAATACATATTCCCTGTAGGTACTATATAAGGGGAATTAAGTTAATGAATGTTGTATTAGCATATATGTCAATACATGTAAACACATTTTTCCTGTGGCAAAACAGGCTAGTGTGAAGCTTTTTCTGAGTTTGGCAGCACGCAACGGATGGAGTCTTACTCATGGTAATTACCAATGCCTTTCTACACAGTGATCTCGACATCGAGATTTACATGTATTGACAGATATGCTAATACTAGGAATTTTTGTTAGAGTGACAGCGACAGCTAGCAAGGGGTGATTGTTTTTCACGGTTTAATGTTAGGTATTGCTGTAATAATATTAGGATGTAACTCGTTGATGGTAGTGAATTTTTTTTTTGTTAAAGCTGATAGTGGATTTCTAGAATACTATTTGCCGAACTCGTAGAAACTTTGCTGTCTCTGAAAGTTATTTGGACACTGAATGATGAATTAGTCCACATTAATTGGTATTCTACAGACGTTATTAATTAAGCTCATCGATGGACTATATATTTAGGATTCACAACAGTTAACTATTTCATTACACTTCTCATTTTTTCTTTATTTTAAAGATAAAATATTATACTTCCTCTGTTCAGAATTATTTGATGTTTTAGAAAGTTTTTTTTTGTTCAGAATTATTTGATGTTCTCACTTTTCAATGCCAAATTTAATAAATTTTTGTAGTTTTTGACCTTTTATATTTTGCAGATTGTTTTCTTATTGGCTGAATGAAATTTAAATGGATTATAAATAATATTTTTAGTATAGGAAAAATAAAAATTAAATGAATCCTTAAACTGTGTGCAAAAACTTTAAACATCAAATAATTTTGAACAGGGAGTATTAGATAACTTAATGATTGAAAAAAAAAACCTTAGTGATTGAGATGTGTACCTTGTAAATCAAGTATTGTGGGTTATCAATATTATGCCTTTAAAGTAAATTTCGTGAAGTTCATAATATCGAAAATGTAATCTAGTGTTTTTTTCCCATTAAAAATACCTTAAGAGATAAGGATTTTTTGACCCAAACAAAAAAAAGAGATAAGGATTTAACGAGTTCAGCATTCATAGTTATTCTGAGATTAACAATACCTACAAAAACATTAGACCATGAAAAATACACCAAGAACCGACATGTTAATTTTTCGTGTGTTCTTGAAAGACATGCTGATGCATCAAGCTCTCCCTCTCATATACGGTTTCAAGATGTAGAATATTGGAATAACTTGGAATGTAAGAACAAAATCTTGGAATCAAGTATTGTAGGTATTCAAACCTCTTTATAAAGTGGAGCTTGTATAAATTGCTAGTTTTTTGAACGTTATAACATTTACATTTTTATTGATTTTGCGATAAGAAATTTCATTCATCTATACCAAATTAATTATTTTATTTTTTCTAAATTAATTAAGTTGGTAACAAAAGTTTTGCATTTCCATATTAATTAGTGAATGAGTGTTACATTAGAAAATTTCGAAAATTAATTGATTAACACTTGTTTTCTAATAAAAAAAATCTTAACTCCATCCTTAATTAATTGAACTGTTTTCTAGTTCATTCGCATAAAAGACGAATCGTAAGCGTATGTCAGTTTGATATATGTGATAGACAATTAGACATGTGTAAGGATTTTGGAACATAGCATATTAATATGCGCATTGTCGCTAAAGTAATCATTTAGCAAGCCAATACCTTTTTATCTAACGAACCTTTTTGGTATTAGCTGATGATTAACACTTGTAAACCTTAAGAAGAAAACAATTATAATATCTTGGCACGTGTCACTCCTACAACTTAGTGCACCTTCACATGACTCCCCCTAAAAGAGCAAAGAAAAAAACAAGACAATGAAGACATGGTCCCCAACTATAATGCAGGCAAGATTTTGCCCATCTGTTTATCTTTATTTCTCTTTTCTTTTGGACAAGACTTACTGAGTGTGATATATACGCTTCGTAGGGCATATTCAAAATTATTATTTCTCTATATATTTTGTTTAAGCGTAGAAATCTTTCTTTTGTTTGGTTACCAGTTCACATGTTAGCCTTTTAAAACCCTGAACTAAAGACATGGTCGTTGATGGTTCTAATATAAGTTCTAACAAAAGAAAATATTTAATTACCCTGAATTATTCTTGAGTTAAAAAGAAGCTTTTCATTGTACTACATCACTTCTCTTCTGGGGTGTAAGAACAACATACAATAGCTTCGGAGTTCGAACCATTACACAAACTTACTTTCTTCTTCTTCGTTCTTCTTTTCTCCGACCAATAAAGGTTTGAACTTTACAAAACCCTTTTGACCATCAGCCACCAACTTTAGCTCTGTTCATGATCTCCTCCTCTCTACTTCGCTATCTTCGACTTTCTCCAAAGGCCGAACCGATACTTCTATGCACAAAATCCCTCCCTGGCACGCACGCGTGCATACTTAAAGACTTCTAGTACTTTCACGCACTAGAGCATCTACATCTTGCCCGACTCTCTTCGAGCTCCTGACCAAAAAAAAAAAATCCAAAATTTTCAGTTTAAGGGAAAAGGAGGAAAGCAAGAGATTGGTGTGCAATACAAGAGAGAACAATATTACCTTCACTTGTTCTTGCAGGTCCTTGATGTACTGAACCGCAAGATCCAACATATCTGCTGTGTTTGTTTGCTGCATATCAATTGAAGATTATAAATACATTGAGCAAAAGACCGTGAACATACGAGAAAAGGAAACGAGAGAGAGGAAGATTGATTTCACCGTGTCCATGTTTGGAACAAGGTCTTGCAGCTTCCTCATTCTTTCACTGATCTTAGTTCTTCTCACCTGTTCCAAAACATTTTGGATATATGAATAACCTTAGGAGAAACTAATAGTATATAATCATGGAGTAAATGTCATTGAGCATGATAATAGGAGAAGGAATTACTCTCTCGGCAATGCTCCTAGGATGTGTAGCGCAGCCACGCTTGGCTCTGATCTTACAAGGGATAGAATCCGAGAGTAACTGTTCAATATCTGATAAAGACTTGGGCAAACTCATGTGATGTGCCAGAGGAGGACGCCTACTCGCTGAATCTTCATCCTGTTAATTAATGTCATCACTCCACAATCAACCAAACAAGAACAGCAGCGGAAAGTATCAAACTTGCTTCTTCTTTTCCACTGGCAGAATCATAGACAGAATTTTGGAAATCACAGAACATCTTTAGCTCATACCTTGGTTTTGTATTGATCTAGACCACCAGATTGGGTCCTTGCAATAGCCGAGAGCTTAGAGGAAGCAGAGCCTTCATTACCAAAAGAACGATTAAAGCCACCAGAGAGTGTACGAGGAGGCAATCTAGAGGAGAAACCAGGTTTGACATCAATCTCAGAGATCGGACTCATCTGTCTAGAAGCTGAAGGAGGAAGCTTGCTTCTAGGAGTAAACGATGAAGCTTCAGTATTGCTTGTGTTCATCAGATTTCCTCCTCCAAAACCTCCCATGCTTTTCATTACAGCTGCATATGCTGCCCAAAGACAAATAAACACCAAATATGCTTATAGATTCCAAATACTTTCCCCACTAATGAAGATCAATTTTTGTGTTTAGCTAGTTACTAATTGCAGATTCTACTACTATATCTCTGATTAATTATTAATTATTGAATCCAAATCTACAAACAGAGACTATTCGTGTTTTTAGTCCTATCAAATCGGAGGCATATTCTCAAAAAGTTACCAGAAAAGTTTCCAGATAAGGAAAGTAATTTGAAACCAACTTTTAAAAATAAATTTAGAAAGTGAGAGGCAAAAGAAGATTTCTTTTGAACCTGTTTCGACATCGACGGAGGAAAACAATCCGGCGGGTGAGCTATTATGACGAGCGAGATTATTCGCCGGAGTCCGATCATCTCTCTCTCTAGGTCTTTTGTTCTGACCTAAATTCCTCACCACCGAATCATACCCAATTGAATCAGGAGCCACTGAAACCTCAACATCATCACCACCACCGGAAACGACGACCTCCATCGCCGTCGCCGGAATATCTACCTCCTCCATCTTCACCTCCGGAGGTTTCTTCTCCGACCCGTCGCTGTTGAAAGTGTGGTGGAGGAAACTATCGACGTTGTTGCTTGTGTCGGTGGTTTGAAGGAAACCGGATAAGATTCGCTCCGTCTCGGGGCTAGTCGGTCGATCTAAGAACTCTTCGATCGATTCTCTGTCACCGAAGCTGGAGAAATACGAGCTCGGTGCGGATTGGTAACGAATCAATCCAGAGTTTCTGGGTCTCTGGTGTTGATGATCGTGGAGATGGAAGTGGTGTTGCTGAAATTCTGACTCCATCTTAGTAGCTTTAGTGTTCTTCTCCTCCCGTGTTATTTTCTCTGTTGGATTAGATAACACCGGAAGTTTCGCTGATTCGCCGGGAGATTTTCCCGGCGAGAGATCTCTGAGATTATAAATTAAAATATGTGAAATAAAAAAAACCAGAAAGGGAAAGAAGAAGGAAAAAAAAAGAGGAGAAAGAGAACGTGAGGGAAGCTTATGTGAGAGAGATAGAGGTGATGAAAAAAACAACAGAAGGCAGGTAGAGATTGGGATTTATGTACGTTTAGACAAAAATGCCCTTTGTGGTGTCTTCATATTACGAGTGGAAACCGTGACGTTGACACGTATGGGCCATGTAGGGCCACATTATTTTATTGTTTGTATATTTATTTTAATACTTTTATATCATTTTTCTTGCTCGGAACAAAAACAAACATTTTTTTAAAAAATGGTTTTTTTCTTCTTATGTCTTAAAATTGTTTTTTCCTTCTTCGTTCTTAAAATTGTTTTTTTTCTTCTTCTGTAAATTCCAATAGATTTTTTCTTTGTAATAAGGATGTTCATTTCGGGTATTGAAATATCAACTGCGGATAAATTTGTGTTTAGATTATTTTGTTATTGAAAAACTACTCTTCGAATTTTATCTAATGGTACTTTTTCCTTTATATCATCAGTTGATGTATATGTTTGTAATAAAATAATTAAATTGTCTCAAACAAATAGTAGTTATTATAGGCTTTAATAATAGGTTTGAAAATGAAACGGTATAGATCAAATCGGGGTAATCCATCTTGAAATGGATAGCCCTGTTTTGTTTTTGTGAATTTACAATCGATGCAATGATCAATAATGGTAACCTACTGTATTCAATAATTTTTCTTGTTTTGCGAAAGAAAATCTAGCAGCTTTTACGGTTTTGGACTTTTATCTTCTTTTTAATTAACTATTCTGCAATTATTGACATGATTCAGAACTTTCAAAAACTGAGATTGATAATGATATTTTAATAAAATGACGACTATAGTGTAATTGTGGGATTTAAAGCTGTTGACTTAAAGCTATAAAAATGGCTGAGAAAAAGGACACACATATGTCGATATGACGCATATTGAAATGACGGACAACTTAAAAGAAAAACAAACTAGAAGAATATCGTATTTTAAATCCGGATAATAAAAACAAATTACAAAAATAAAAAATAGTTGGAGAATCAGACAGGTGTTGATATGCCAATCTAGGGCTCCAAATTTTAGGGAACCTTTCAAGCGACTAAATCCAACTATTCACGCTTAAACACGTATGTACTTTCGCAAAAAAAAACAGGACACGTAATTAGTATTAAAAGATCCGATTCAATAAAATACATACAACTAATACTATATCCGAATTTAAATGTCATTACTCATTAATCAGTACAACTAATAATTAAGTCGCATGAGTGTTTGAAAAAGGAAAAACGAATGGTGAATAGACTTTACCTTTGTAGTTATTCAACATAAATTCATACAACAGCAATGGTTTTCAAACCGTGAAAAGATAATCAGACCGATTATTCTTGATGTCTAGTATATCTTACAGTATTAATTCTCATTTAAAATGATGTTATTCTGATGATATGAAAGTTTTAGTTTGCTTTAAAAGTCATGTTGTTCAAGCCATCAAACAAAACAAAAATTAGTACAATTTTAAAAAAATAAGAAGCACTAATTAATACTGAATTTAGTAACCTGTTATATTAATGTACATAAACTAGATTTCTTATATGCCGTAGCTTACTTTTAGATATTAACTATATTCTATATATGCTATAAATTTCTATTACAAAGTACTTCGTAATTAATTTATTCATGGGTCTTTTAAGTGAATATCATCAGTTGACTATATAAATTGTATATCTTTTTTCTATCACAAAGTACTTCGTAATGAATTTATCCATGGGTCTTTTAAGTGAATATCATCAGTTGACTATATAAATTATATATCTTTTGTCAAGTTATAGTATCCTGTTATATACGGAGTATTTTTTTATAGGAAAAAAAAAAGAAAAGTTGTTACATATTTTTACCGAAAACAATTGAAATATGATCTTAACCGTTATTATCATTTTTTTGTAAGAAAGCTATTTTGGTGTCAAGAAAGTACTCGTTTCTTTTGAACAAATTAAGAAAAAATATAAATAAATATAAGATAAGGTTTGAGAATGTGAGAATCGAGGTGGAATGCAACAGAGAAGCACAATCTCACGTGAAACTTAGGCGTGAAGATCCTCTTCCTAGAAATAGCAAGCCACCTATTTAGAATCTTTCTCACTTTCTCATTTTTATGTCAAAAATGCATTCGAAAGTCTTTTTGGTTTTTGCTCTTTTTCCTCGCTTTTACTCCCTCATTTTAGAAAACTAAATGATGCGAATTGGTAAATCAGTGGCTTTACAATGAAAGTATCATTAACTAACAAAAGTTTAGAAACAAGTAGTAGCTAGTGAGCTAGATAACAAAAGTATCATTAATGTTTCTTCATAGAATTTTTATTTATTTAAGTGAAATTTATTAAGCTAAAGCTAATTTGATCATCACAAATATTGTTAACAACATATATGTTCTTTTAAGTCATTTTGTACAGACTAACAAATGAACAAAGTTACATCCAAATATAATATCTAGCTAGATATGTAGAAACAAACAAACAGCATTTGGATGAAACATTCAATATATTATATGATACATTTGGATAATGCTACACTTGAATGTAACATATTGATTGTTGCATCTGGATAGACATACGAACATGCCTATCAACTCTCACAATCTCTGTACTTGTTTCTCAATTTTACTCTCACACGAATCAGCTAGAAAATATCTTTGAATTACAAAAGATTCGATTAAAAAGACAAAAAAAAAGGTAGATAAATGGGAGTATGGGACACTAGATTTAATGAGTTCATGTCTTGAATTGAGAACCCTTATTTCTGTCAGGCGTCTTCCCTACAAATTCACTGAATCACACATCAAAAATTAGAAGCAATCGATCTCTTAAGATGAAGAAGAAGTAGAGACATAGATCAAAGCTTTGTTTCCATTAGCCCGTTAAAACAAAACAGCAAAAATTGGTTAACTGAGCTTAACCGAGATTACATATGACTTAAATTGAACCAACTATAATCCCAATTGAACAATTGTTCTTGATCAAATTAACTCCGGTTCTAATCCTCAGCTAATACTATATAGGCCCAATAAAAAGCCTATTCTGAGCCTACTCTTCCAGGTTTTATTATATAGGCCCAATAAAAAGCCCTAAAGTCACGAACTTTTCCCTTGCCAATCGACTAAAATATTTTATATATAAAACTTGGCCAACTTTCTCCAGCTGCTTGCCACATCAGCATTGGAGAAAGCGTCACCTGTCTATTTAAAATCTTAATGAAATAAATAATTAATTACATTTAGAGTAAAACATTTAATTAATCCCATTTAAAGAAAAACATTAAAACACATTAATAAATATTAATATGTATATGAACAAAATTATTTAAATAAATAAAATTTAAATTTATTTTAAATATATCAAAACTTAAAAATATTTATATAATACAAGATTTTTTAAATCCACCATTCTATTTCCTTTTTCTAAGTGATTTAAACTACATTTTCAAACTAAAAATATCATTAAATTTTAATGTAAGTGAAAAAAAAATTATGAGACTGAATAAGTTAAAGAGTTTTAAATAATCCTATATAAAACTCTTACTAATAAAATTATAAGACTAAATATTCAATAAACGATTATAAAAATAAAAGTTATTAAAAAAAGTAATAGTAAAAAAGAAGAATAGATACATCAAAATGTCATACAAAGTTTTTTTTAAAAAATTTTAAAAATGGAATCAATAAAATATATATAACTAAAAAACTCAAAATGGTAAATTTTTCTATGAGATATTACGTTTTTATACATAAATTAAAATAATAGATCTTTAGTCTCTCATTACCGTACGAAAAAAATCGGATTATTTGGCACAACTCATGTCGAAGAGATTACAAATAGTGTATCATCTAGAAAAAATCAAAGAAAACATAAATATTTTAAACGAAAAAATGATGGTAAAAATTTAATTCAAAACAAATTCTAAAAATGTATTATTTAAACTATAAATTAAAACAAGATCCGTGCATATGCGCAGGTTCTCTCCTAGTTATATATAAAAGTTGTTCAACTTTCTCTATATGCTTGACACATCAGCATTGGAGAAATTGACATATGTCATTTAAATTTTAATTAATAAAAATTTAATATTAAATTTTAAAGCATTTAAAGAATATGAAAAGTTTGTTTTATTAATTGACTCTTAACTAATATTTATATTAATTTTAAACAAAAATTTATGTTATAACTAATTAAAAATATTGATAGATATGTATTTAATTTTTATATAACTGTAAATTACTTAATAATATTCAATATATATTTTAAATTATTTTTTAAAGATTATTTATAATAAAATACTAACAAGTAACAAATGAAATGATGATTCTATTAATTTAAAATTTTTTATTAATTAACTATTAGTTAATATTTGTGTAAATGTTAAACAAAATTTTATGTTATAACTAATTAAAAATATTGATGATATTTATTAATTTTAATATAACTCTAAATTATTAAATAATATTTAATTTTTTAATTTTTTAAATAAATATTAATTAGTAAGTAAATAACAAGTGATGATTATATTAATTTTTATAAAAATATTAAAACCTGTACATAATGTGCGGGTATTCATTTAGTTTTTTTAAAAAAATGTTCAATATTTTGGTACAGCATAAATAGTTTTCTAAAGAGATTAATCCTTATAATAGGCCCATAACTTGACCAACCCAAGCCCAATGTAGAGCGGATCGGGTCAAAGCGGTGGAAAACAGATAATTCAGAAAACCCTAACATAGCCAATTTTGTCATTTGCGCAAAGCGTAACTCTCCGGTGCGTGTGCTCTGAGCTGGTTCCTTTAAGAATCGGCACACGTTTCTTCATTTTGGATCGTCCTCGAAGCTCAATCTGAATCTCTCAGTTATCTCAGGTACTTATCTCAAACTTTTACATTTCTCTTCGATTGATAATAGATTCCATATACAGATGATTCCCGATATCGTCATCACATAGATTTTGGGGGGTTTTTCGGCGTTTGGTTCTCGATTGATTCGAAAAACCCATCAGTATATCTATTAGAAACTTGTAATTTCGTATAAATTTTATGGATTTGTTCCTTTCTATCACTCGTTGTATTGATAAATTGGCAAGTTTCAATCTTTGTATCTAATTTGATGATATTTCTCTCTATATATATGTAGGCGAATTTGGAATTCATCTTCACCCTTCGTTTTTTGTATAAACTCGGTTTCGCCATTTATTCGAAGTATTGAAATTTGCGATTTTTCAAGCTTGAAGTTATATAATTTGACGTCTTAGAATTTGCTAAAATAATGATAGAAATCTCGGACTAGTTCACAGAAGAACCGAATTTCGAAGTTTCTCACATTTGCTCTGATCTCAGCTTTGATCTTTGATAAATATCTCGTTAATCGCTCTCGACGGGGAAGACGAAGAAATAATGCAGTTCTTCGGTGGATCGGAGATAAGTCCGTCGCCGCCTGTTCCGACGGTGAGTGGTAACAACGCGCACATGATGTACGTTTTCAACAGAAACGGTGTGTGTCTTCTCTACAAAGAATGGAATCGGCCTCTTCACACGCTCAATCCCCAGCAAGATCACAAACTCATGTTCGGTCTTCTCTTCTCCCTCAAATCCCTCACCGCCAAGATGGATCCCGTCAAGTTAGACTTCTCCTTTCCCTTTTCTTTTTGGGCTCTGATCCGTTGATGGATTTGAAATTTGATCGATTTTGCATCTCTGTGACTCGTGTGCATCGTTACATTTGATGATTTCGATGGATTTTTCTGATCTGTGTTGGGTTTCATTTTGTTGATTTCTTTGATTTGCTAGATCTAATGCTAAATCAGTTTTTGAATTTTTGCAGTGCGGATAAAGGGAATCTAGGGGTTCCACAGTTGCCGGGACAAGGATGCTCTTTCCACAGTTTCCGTACGAACACTTACAAGCTAAGCTTCATGGAGACTCCCTCTGGTATTAAGGTCAGCTTCATTGCTCTTTCAGTTCTTCCTTTCAGTCCCAAATTTTTAGCTTCAATAGGATTTAAGTACAGATAATCTGGAACCTGGGTAGTTGTTTTAACCCTAAGTCATTATCTTGGTGTCTACCTAAAGAAGATGAAGAATGGTTAGGAGAAATATGGGAACTAGGGATGAGTATGGAAACTGGTGGTTTGGTTTTTTACTTTCTGAAAAGGTACAAGTGTATTCAAACAAATGTGAATTGTGAAGCATATTGGCGTGTAGGAGAGTTAAAACAATCTTGAGCTGTGCTATGTCTCAAAAGAGATTGAGATGTTTGAAGAAGTTTTGAGGAGAATGCTCATTGGCTTTCATATTAGATTGTCTATCATTTGTTAACCATGTTCAGCTGAAAAAATTTAACATCAGGGTTTAGTCACTTGTGTCAACAATAAGATAAGCGTAGAAAGAGTTATATGGTTAAAGCTTAGATGGGGTGCGATCATTTAGATAGATGAAGTCATGGGAGTTTTCAAGATTGGATATTTAGCTTATTGGCAGGACATGGGGATTAGATTCCAAAGTCGTTTGATCACAATTGTTAATCAAAAATCTAAATGCTTAGCTTCTTGGTGGCTTAATCAATTTAGGGTTTCTTATTCTGTTGCAGATTATCTTAGTAACTCATCCAAAGACGGGAGATTTACGGGAATCCCTCAAGTACATCTACGGTTTATACGTTGAGTACGTTGTAAAAAATCCTATATACAACCCAGGATCTCCAATCAAGTAAGCTTCACACAGATATCCAACCATCGAATTATGGTTAACATTTTATTGCATCGGTTAAACCTGTTTTTTTCATCAAATCTTAAACCCTGATTATGTTTCATTGGTCTTTAGGTCGGAGTTGTTCAACACTGCACTTGACCAATACGTAAGGAGCATCTCATAGTGTGTGGGGCATTAAAGATTTGGCCATTGGAACCTCTTTTGCTTCACAGAACTCTATTATGAACCATCTCTGTAGAGAAGAGGGAATTGCATTAGAGAGATCAATCTGGAGTCGACTGTTTGCTCAGCATATGTATCTTTGTTTACACTTTCTTTTTTTTTTTTCTTGTTTTTGTTGTTTACACTTTCTTAACTCACTGTTTTTGTTTGTTATCAAAGATATGTATGGTTTACTCAAAAATCTTGAATTGCCATATAAGCAAGAAAGCGTAATTACCTCTACTTGAAGGCAAAACAAAAAAAAAACCCGTGTACTCGTTGTGACATCGTTTTTGAAGTTTTAATAATTGAAATTAAACTATGTACATAACATTCGCTATTAAAAATTGGTTAGTCTTAGTAAAATTGAAAACTATATTAGTATATTTGTAGTCAATAATAATACTATTCAAGTCCTTAATGGCAAAACAAACGCATTTGCGGGCTTGAGGCTGTGATGGGTTTGGTCGAACACAACACGTGAGGTTATCTTCTAAGCATTAAACCTTTTTTGTCTTTCTTTTGCTTACTCTAATTATTTTATTTATTTGATTATTTTATGAAGGATTTTTCTTTACAAAATCAAATATGAATGTTGTCATTTTTTGTAGATGTCAATAGTTGTCCCCTTCCCTCTCCTTTTTTTTTGTCTTTGTCTCACTACTCTAAAATTATCAACTCAATCAATGGTGGATGCTCTCTTTTTGGACATCAATGGTGGATGACTGGAAATAAACAAGTTAGCTCAAAAAAAAAAAAGAGAAATTATTCTACTCAATTCGCTTTATGTTAAAAAATTTTAATATATTATTCTAATCAATTCTTGCCGATCAATTACTCCTGATGATAACATATACTTTTGTGACTAACCTATGGATATCCCAAGTATATTATATATCTTCGTTTGATAGATATGGTTCCCAATATTTGTTTTTTATCTAGCTCTTTAAAGTTATATCACGTTTATCCAAATTTGGCCAAACAACTTATAAAAGGACAACCTTATTTGCAAAACCTTAGAAAAAGGTTGAGCTTGTAGGTGTGTTCTTATTATCGCCAAATGTTCATCTTACCCGTGACTTGCTCTGTTGCTCATATGCGCCTAAACATTTTTAGCCCATATTTCAAAATAAAATAATTGATCCATTCTAGCCACACATGGACATGTCAAATAATCCTCCAAAATGTAATTTTAGCGTCTTTAATGAAAAGTATTCGATCGAAAAAACAATGCCTAGAATCGTCATACGCAAAGACTTAAGTTTGTTTATCCCGTGAACATATCTGACGTTTCTATTCTCCATTTCTCCTTATTACAAAATAAAATATAGTGCTAGAACTTGATCGCTATCCGGATATAGATGGACATATGCAAGTCAATGAAGTCATCAACTTTTATATATGATCGAAAATATTCCATCTGGTTCATTATAATTGATTTTCTGAATATCTGTCATCAATAAAACTATAAATGTTCAATTATTTGCTGTTTATTTTTGTTAATTAAATTATTTTTACAACTGATTTCATTATTTTTATTATTATTTTATCTTTTCTAACTGTGCGTTAATGGAGTAAAACAACATGCATTAATATGATTCGAAGAGATATGTATTAACTAAATGTATGAAATCAATTATTATGAAACAAGAAAAAAAATCTAGAAAATCAACTATATAATGAAACAGAGGGAGTGTAACATCCCGATTTCCGGATAGTCGGAAAGGCTTATAAGAATTGATTTGGCTACCTATGTCATCAAAGTGCACTTATCTTTTCCGGTCAAGTGTGCTGAGAGAACTCCAAAGTTAAGCGTGCTGATGCTGGAGTAGTCTCAAGATGGGTGACCTACCGGGAAGTTTTCTGTGGTACCGTGCGAATGAGGACAAAGCACGGGGAAAGATCATGTGGTGATTGCAGGGATAGTAGACAAGTCTTACGAGCCTTCCGGACTAACGACTCCCGACCGTTGGACAGTGGTGGGCCAACAGGCCTAGAGAAGGCATTGGGCCAACGGGCCTAGAGAGAGGACGTTGGGCCCACGTGCCTAAAGAGGGCGTTGGGCTCACTGGGAGGAGCGGTTGGGGGGAGTTAGGATTGATATCGCCGGTCCGCGCCTGGTCTCCAAAGGGAGAAAGAATTGATTTGGCTACCTATGTCATCAAAGTGCACTTATCTTTTCCGGTCAAGTGTGCTGAGAGAACTCCAAAGTTAAGCGTGCTGATGCTGGAGTAGTCTCAGGATGGGTGACCTACCGGGAAGTTCTCTGCGGTACCGTGCGAGTGAGGACAAAGCACGGAGAAAGATCATGTGGTGATTGCAGGGACAGTAGACAAGTCTTACGAGCCTTCCAGACTAACGACTCCCGACCGTCGGACAGTGGTGGGCCAACGGACCTAGAGAGGGCGTTGGCCCAACGGGCCTAGAGAGAGGACGTTGGGCCCACGTGCCTAAAGAGGGCGTTGAACTCACTCTGGGAGGAGCGGTTGGGGGGAGTTAGGATTGATATCGCCGGTCCGCGCCTGGTCTCCAAAGGGAGGGCGGGTCGGGATGTCACAAGTGGTATCAGAGCCGACATCCAACCTCGTGTGTGGAGTCGTCATGTGGCCTCACACCGTAACAAGGTGAACGATCCTGGTACAAGCACTGTGGGGGTAAAGAGAGAATTCGGGGACGAATTCCTTGGAAGTCGGGGAGAATTGTAACATCCCGATTTCCGGGTAGTCGGAAAGGCTTATAAGAATTGATTTGGCTACCTATGTCATCAAAGTGCACTTATCTTTTCCGGTCAAGTGTGCTGAGAGAACTCTAAAGTTAAGCGTGCTGATGCTGGAGTAGTCTCAAGATGGGTGACCTACCAGGAAGTTCTCTGCGGTACCGTGCGAGTGAGGACAAAGCACGGGAAAAGATCATGTGTGCTGAGAGAACTCTAAAGGGAGAAAGAATTGATTTGGCTACCTATGTCATCAAAGTGCACTTATCTTTTCCGGTCAAGTGTGCTGAGAGAACTCTAAAGTTAAGCGTGCTGATGCTGGAGTAGTCTCAAGATGAGTGACCTACCAGGAAGTTCTCTGCGGTACCGTGCGAGTGAGGACAAAGCACGGGAAAAGATCATGTGGTGATTGCAGGGACAGTAGACAAGTCTTACGAGCCTTCCAGACTAACGACTCCCGACCGTCGGACAGTGGTGGGCCAACGGACCTAGAGAGGGCGTTGGCCCAACGGGCCTAGAGAGAGGACGTTGGGCCCACGTGCCTAAAGAGGGCGTTGAACTCACTGGGAAGAGCGGTTGGGGGGGAGTTATGATTGATATCGCCAGTCCGCGCCTGATCCCAAAGGGAGTGCGGGTCGGAATGTCACAAGGAGTATATTCAATATGCTTCATCATGGCTTTAATTGTACTTCGTTATTTTCTTTCTACTTTTACTCTTACGAGTTATATATATATAGAAGTATAGCTTACTTCAAGGTACTATAATCACTGTCCATTTAAAATAATAACAAACAAATTATTCATTCGGTTTCAGAAAGAGCGACGTTTAAACTTTGTAATTATCAAGTAGCATGCTTTACGAAACAATTACCCCCTTAATTGTTATCCTACTCTCTTTAGTTTTTTTGCCTTTGGTATTTGGATTAATTATTGCAAAATTTCAGAAACTCTATATTATTTCATGAATTGTAATAATACTAGTTTCGATAACAATATCATCACAGTTCGGTTTCTTGATTCCCGTCGTAACAATTATTTTTTATACACATCAAAATCAGAAAAGCTAAAAAGACACTGAAGAAAAGGAAAATCTAAAAAAATATTATGAGTGTTAGATTCTCCCACGCGTGGATCAGAAATCAACAAACGGATTGTTTTCAGAACACTCGTGCGGTAACGGTAACGGATTCGTTTTCAGTTTCTCGAAATAGTCCTTTATACCAAACCCACTTGCCGTTACGTTTCCATTCGATTCTCCGTCATCTCTCAACGGAATAAACGGAGGTCTTAACACCTCCGTTAACAGGTCCCACTTCACTCCCCTGAAGAAAGCGTGCTCCTTTATTTCCGCTGCTCCACGCCGGTAACCTAACCGCCTCGTCGGATCTTTCACAAGCAATCGACGGATCAGATCCGTTAGATCGGACGGTTTCCCGGCGAACTTAGGTTCCTTCATCAACACGTTACAAAAAGTCTCCTTTTTGTTTTTACCCTTGAACGGTGTCTCTCCGTACGTCATCTCGTACGTCAAAACGCCGAGAGCCCACCAATCGACGGCGAAATCGTGTCCGTCGCCGCGAATTATTTCCGGCGATATGTACTCGTCAGTTCCGACGAACGAATTCGACCGGTCTCCGCCGGAGAAACTCATTCTCCGTCGGGTAATCGGGTTAACCCGAGCGGATTTCGTCTTCTTCTTCTGCCGGGAAAATCTCAGACGACTGAGTTTCGATTCCGGATTCGGTTCCGGTTCCGGGTCGGAAAGATAGAATTCGGGTCGGGTGGGTTTATTGAGGGTACACGAGAGGTCAAAATCGGTTAAAGTCACGTGACCCGATTCCTGAAGGAGGATATTCTCTGGTTTCAAGTCTCTGTAAGCGATCCCCATGGAATGAAGGTGGTCAAGCGCACAGAGGATCTCAGCTAAATAGAATTTAATAACGGAGGAACTGAAGACGCCGTCGTTTTGACGGTGACGGAGGACGTTAAGGTCGCCACCGGAGCAGTAAGGTATGGCCCAAGCGACGAATTCAGGAGATTCTGAGGAAGTTAAGAGACGTGGGAGAAACGGGTTCGGGTCCGGGTCATCGGAGAGACGCCGGAGGATCTGAATTTCCCAATTGGCACGGCGGAGAGAAGAGGCGGAGGGTTTGTCGACGAATTTCATAGCGAAGGGAGAAGAAGCAGAGGGGTCTGAAACAGAGTCGTGGACTAGGAAAACTGTTCCGGTGGCGCCTTTTCCGAGGAGTTGGAGAGCTCTAATATTGTCGAGGTTAAGATTCATCGCCGGTGGAGCTGAGGATGACGATGGTCGTGTCTCCATTGATAGAGGATAAAGAGAAGTGAGGTAAAAGGAAGGAGACGAGTGGGTCTGGAACGTTGCGTTTCTGCTTTCGTGTGTCCAACAATTATATATATACTATAATGTTTTCGATTCTTTCACTTTATTTTTTTTTTCTTTTCTCAATTCAGTATTATAATACTGTGTAGTTGTTTTCTTTTTTGGTTTTAACGCAGTAATTGTTGTTCGTTTTTTTTCTTCTTTAAGTTACGATCTATAGTTGAAGTTGAGGCAAGGGAAGAATAACAAACGTCTTTTTATAAAGAAAAGGAAGTTTAAATCTATAATATTGAATATTTTGCATTATTATCAGTTGGCTCTATAAAAATAGTATTCAAAATATATATATATAACCCGCGTGTGGTAGTATGGTGGTGGTATCAGCTTTATGACAATGGAATAATTGGGAAATGTAATAAGATAATATTTCTAACTTTGATAGTGTGATTGGAAAATATTTTTTTTTCGAAATTAGCATATGGTCACCAGAATTTATCACTTTCGATTTTTGTTTTTCCAGTTTTCCCTTAAGATTTTGATTTTTGATGATATAAATTATACAAACAAAAATGTTAAGATGATGAATTGCAATTTTTTTATATATATTGCTATCAATAATTTTATGGTTCTAATTATGATAATGTTTTTTTCACAAATTTTTTATTAATTTCCATCTTCTTAAAATATATTCAATAGACTCCCTATTTTTTTTTAGTTTCACTCTATATATGAACACATTTGAATGAAATGGAACACGTGCGGTATCATTATGCAATAGAGAGCAATGTGTCGACAAGCCAAACTGGACAGTCGCAACCACCACATTTATATGTAAAGCTGTATTAATTCTTTGTAAACCTCCAAAGTGTTACTCTCTAACAATTATTAACCTACTTTCATTATTTTTGTGTGGATTATTTCAAATATTAATTATTCTTTTCTATATACATGTTCTAGCGAACGTTTTCTAACTCACTTTCATAGAGTGGTATATCTAGTACATGTTTGATGGCTATACTTTTTCTTAAATACATGTAATTTCCTATAGGTCTTCTATTAGAAAAATTAATTACTAGTTAGATAGACCTAACCTAACTAAGCTAACCACAATTCTATATAATTAGAACAGCTTTTATGATCGATGATGGTGTAGGTAGATCTCGTACTTACTTAATCAACATGCTAGCATTAAAATGAAATTATTCTTGACGAAAAAAAAAAAAAAGTCAAAGGCGATAGCAAAGGCGATTGTAGGGTTTCGACTTTCTGCCCACGTTAGGGCGGCAGGATCATGACGGCGCAGGGACAATCGGTCCCTCCGTCACCGGAAAAGGATGGGTTGATGCCGGTGGTTGATTCAGCAGTGGAGAATTCTCAAGTGGTGGAAATCCTTCCATTGTCGAGGGAAGAACAGAGTCAGCATGATGGGAATTCTCAGAACCGATCACAGGAGATGAGCGTTCAGAATAAAGTGGGGGTGATTTGTGAAACAACTGATCAGGGAAAAGAAGAGAGCAAAAATACCAAAACAAAGTGGACAGAAGTTGTGAGGAAGAAGGAGAGTTTGCAGAAATACGAAGTGGAGGAGGAGGAGATTGATGGCGTCAAGGTCTTCCGCGTCCCCGACGCAATACTGAATGAAGCACCCCTATGGGATGATTGCATAGTTGGAAAATTTCTAAAAAAGGCTCCTCACGTAGGATCTATTCACATGACTGTTAATAAGATTTGGAATCTGGGAGGACAACAAATCAGAGTTGACGTTTATGTGGTAAATGATGAAACGGTGAAGTTTCGAATTGCAGACAAGAGTGTCAGAGACAGAGTTTTGCGACGGAAAATGTGGACTATCAAGGGAATTCCGATGCTAGTCTCAAAGGGAGTGGGGGCAACTCTGGTGGATGCTAACTCTGAAACTGTTGAACAAAGAGATGTGGCGATCCCTGAGAAAGAGTGGATTACACCATCTAAGGCCTACTCTCGCAAGTCTGCTATTGTACCTGATCAGCGTGAGGATATTTCCTCAGGGTCACGGTTCAATGCACTGTTGGAGGAGGGAGAGGATGGCAAGGGAGCTGATCTAGAGGAAGAGGGAGAAATAATTGAGACGATATCAGTGGAGGAAGTGAATGATCGGGGAGTTGAGGAAGCAATTACTGATACTGAGCAGGTGGTGGTGCAAGCACATGAGAGTGTTATGGATACTGCTGAGATGAAACTAGATAAAGGGGAATCAAAAACAGAGCAGAATGCTGATGTAGCTCGAGCTCCTCTACAGCGAGCAGCTAAATCTACGCACAGATATTGTCCTGGACCTCCAGCGTCACAACCTACAACCAATGGGGGTAGGGCGACGGGGAAGAGTCAGCGGAATAACAAAAAAAACCCCTCTCAATGATAGGTTTTTTTTGGAACATTCGCGGCTTTAATAAAAGGAGTAAGCACTCAGTTGTAAAGGATTGGGTGTGGGGAAATTCTTTAAAGTTTGGATGTATATTGGAAACAAGAGTGAAAGAAAGTAGAAGTAAGAAGATTGTATCGTCTATTTTTCCTGACTGGTCGTTCATTTCCAATTATGAGCATAACCGATTAGGAAGAATCTGGGTGATCTGGAATAAGGAGATGCGGCTAAGTGTGGTTGGTAAGAGCGCGCAAATGATTACATGCCTGGTCTCGGAGGAGGGATCTAATGAGGAGATTGTTTGTTCTTTTGTTTATGCTTCGAACTTTGCAACGGAGCGTAAACAATTGTGGGAAGAGATTACGGCGTTGCACAATTCCAGTGTCTGTCAAGGGAAACGTTGGATGATATGCGGCGATTTTAATGAAATTTTGTCTGGTGAGGATCACTCGAGTCCCGACTATTCTGATTCTCAGGGCTGCCACGATTTTCAGAGCACAGTTCGACATTGTTCTCTATCAGACATGGGGTTCCATGGGCCTTGGTTCACATGGAATAACAAACGGAAGGAAGGTTTGATACATAAGAAGCTGGATCGGGTTTTAATCAATGAGGAATGGCTATTGAACAGTCCACAATCTTACTGTGTCTTTGAGGCTGGAGGCTGTTCTGATCATCTCAAAGGGCGGGTGTATCTGGATGCTCGAAGGCCAAGCATCAAGAAGCCTTTTAAGTTTCTAAACTCGTTATCGACAATGCCTGAGTTTATTCCAGTGGTGGAGGAGCAGTGGAAAAACTCGGCCACCCTCTTTCACTCGACGTCAGCTCTCCATAGGCTGACAAAACAGTTAAAGGACATGAAGCCAAAGCTACGGGAGCTGTCAAAGTCGAAATTTGGCGATCTATCTAAGCGCACAAAGAAGGCTTTTGAGGACTTATGCGCTAAACAAGAGGAAAATGCACTAAATCCATCAGTGGGAAACCTAGAGGCCGAATCCACAGCTCTAACCCGATGGGAGCACCTTTACGAGCTCGAGGAGGGTTATCTAAAGCAAAAATCCAAATTGCATTGGCTAAATGTTGGTGACAAGAGCAATAAGGTGTTCCACAGGGCAGTTCGAGTAAGGGAGTCGCAAAATACGATTCGTGAGATTATCAATGGGGATGGTGTTGTTTTGCGGGAACCAATGGACATTAAGGCCGAAGCTGAAAGATATTTCAGAGAATTTCTTTCTCATGTTCCTTCTGATTTCCAGGGTGCGGATATAGACATCTTGGAAGCACTATTGGGATCTAAATGCTACGCATCTGATTGCGATTTACTTGTGCGCGAAGTCACCACTGAAGAGGTATCTAAAGTGCTGTTTTCCATGCCGAACAATAAATCACCAGGACCGGATGGTTTCACTACAGAATTTTTCAAGAGCACATGGTCGATAATTGGTCCAGATGTTACGGTTGCGGTGCAATCTTTCTTCCGATTCGGGTTCCTGCCAAAAGGTGTTAACTCCACCATTTTGGCTTTGATACCGAAAAAGAAAGATGCCAGAGAGATGAAGGATTATCGGCCTATTTCGTGTTGCAATGTTCTGTATAAGATAATATCTAAAATCCTTGCGAACAGATTAAAGAACATTCTGCCAGGTATTATCGCACCGAATCAGTCCGCATTTATAAAAGATCGTTTGTTGGTTGAAAATGTTCTTCTGGCCTCAGAAATTGTTCAGGATTACCATAAAGACACGAGTCCCTCTCGTTGTGCAATGATGATAGATATCGCTAAAGCGTTTGACACGGTGCAATGGAGTTTCCTGCTAAACGTTCTTGCAGCGCTGGGTATTCCTGCAGCTTTTATTAACTGGATTCGTCTATGTATTACGTCTGCTTCTTTCTCTGTTCAAGTAAACGGTGAACTAGTCGGCTACTTTCAGAGTTATCAGGGATTACGGCAAGGGTGTGCTTTATCTCCATATCTCTTCGTCTTATGTATGAACGTCCTTTCTAAGATGCTGGATCGTGCAGCCGCAGAGAACCGATTTGGCTACCATAAGAGCTGTTCTAGACTAAACCTCACTCATTTATGTTTCGCGGATGATCTTATGGTCTTCTCAGATGGGAAAATGAGATCTCTTGAGGGAATTGTTGATGCGTTTGATGCTTTTGCTTCTGCGTCGGGGCTGAAAATTAGTCTAGCGAAATCGACTATATTCATGGCAGGGATCACAGAATCGAATCGAGCTGCAATTGTGGAACGATTCCCCTTTACGGTGGGCGCACTTCCGGTGCGCTATTTGGGTCTCCCATTGATGACGAAGAAAATGGCTCGAGCTGATTATGCCCCACTTGTAGAGAGTATTCGCTCGCGGATAGGTTCATGGACGGCAAGGCATCTTTCTTATGCTGGGCGTCGACAATTATTGATTTCAGTGATATCTGGCTTGACGAATTTTTGGTTATCTGCGTTTCACCTCCCACGATCCTGTATTGATGAGATAGAATCGATATGTGGAGCATTCTTATGGTCTGGTCCACGTCTCAGCACTAGACAGGCGAAGGTTTCATGGATGGATGTCTGCAAGCCGAAAAATGAAGGTGGGTTGGGTATCCGATCTTTACGGGAAGCAAATGAGGTTTCTGGTCTCAAGTTGATATGGAGATTGCTCTCTGGAAAATC